CGATTAACTCTCCCTCTCTTATACAATTCAGTGAAGCTTTATTGGCATGACATTTTAAAAATATGTTTTCAAATAATAATCAATAATTCAATAATCATAATAGGAAAAACATTAATTTGGCATGTCTTTCAGACATGGAGCGACTTTGTGTGATTGAGCGTTTCTATCACACACATATTGATTCACTCAATCTCTCTCTCTCTTTTTCTCTCCCTCTCTCTGCAGCTACACACACACACACACACACACACACACACACACAAAAAAAACCCACACACAATACACACACCACTCCAATGTGGACTGTCTTTATATTTCAGTGAATGATTAATCATGCTGTGTGTTTATTGAAAATGCACCTTAACTTACTTTGTGTAAACAGGGTTTATTGATTCTCTAGGTAAAAGGGGGAAAGTGTGTGTGCGTGCGTGTGTGTGTGTGTGTGTCACACAGGAACTGTCCTGTGTATAATGCAGTGGTTCCTTAGCTACTTCCTTCCTAAAGGTGTGGTCACACCTTGACCTGCAGGAAGTCATGCTCCCTATGAGCGCACATGTGGTCTGACTGAAGCATTGTCAGCTTCCTACTGTGTGTGTGTGTGTGTGTGGGGTTTTTTTTTTTAAATTATTTGTAGACTGACACAGCTCATTGTTACTTGAGCGTTTACATTGTTGAATTTTATTTATAGCTATCTGGAGTGCCTGTGACATTTAAGATAAGGCTCTTCTTCTAGCTGATGGACACATCTCTCTGGAACAGACCCTATCTGCCTGCTCTCTACTTGCACAGGGACAGGGGTACATTATGTGCAGATACTTGCCATAGCAGAGATGAGGGAAATGGTACTAGACAAGCCAATTCATTTCACTGTGTGTGTCGTTGCAGTACAGTGCTGTTAAAACTCTAATGAAATGATCTAACTGGTGATAAGTAGTACATGGACATAATTAAAGGTAGGTCAGTGTAAACTAGCCCATATTGTTAGCTAACTGCATGTCTCAGACAAGATGAAAAATATATAACTTTTAAAGGCTTGTTTGACCTATAGTGCCCCATCAAAGTTGTTTTCTATTTTCTTTCTCAGTTTTGTTTAATTTGTTTATTCTTTACTTTACTGTTATTTTTGTTTTTTCTTTTCTCAGTCGAGTCAAGGTGGTAGGCTTCCATCACTGCAAATCAAGCTGTGGTCAAAAGTCTGAGTGTGTGTAATTACTGTTAATTGGGCTCATTTATCACTAGACCTGTCAGTCTGTCCACTGCCTGATTTTGTGTGTGTGTGTGTGTGTGTGTGTTTGTGTGTGTCGCATATTGTATGCATAGGTTAGGTAAAATACAGGCAAGATGGGGTCAATGTCTCAATTACACAATTGTAAAGTTTGTTTTAAATGAGTAATCAAAAGGAGTTGTATATTCTTGAGCCTCAGGTTCCATCCATACACAAAAATGCCTAAAGGGATAAATCAGTTTATCAAGTTACTGAAAGAGACAGTTGTGTGTTGCTGTACAGAGTTGCTTGAATGAAATAGTTCACTGTTTGGTTTGAATGATGGCAGCTTTATTGTGACTTCATTCATTCTCCTGGGGTCGTATTACAGAAACTTCCTAACCTACAGATCCTGTCTTAAGTGCTTGGTAACCATGGTAAAAAGGGTTAGGAACTGATTTAGGAATAAAGCCATGTAGAACAACAAATAACATAACTTACACACGTGTAACATGTGTAACGTTTGATTTAGATGTACAGTATTGACAGCGGTAGCTATTTGACGGCACATACCAAAATCAATGCATTCAGACTTTTCTCAATGTTTTAGATCATGATAACCAGTCACCTACCATTGTCACGATGTGTAGAGTAGTGAAATAACCAAGAATGCATCACGATACATCCTATGGGGGACGTAAAAAAACAGAGTGGAGCCTGTGCCGGAAGCGACTCCACTTTAGAAAATATTCATCCCAGTACTTTCCCAACAGAAAACAAAGTTGAATCTTTTAATTCTGTAGATGGAACTTCTATAAGGTCAAAGAACAACTTCATAACTTGAAAAATGGGACCATCCGAGGAGCATGTGAATACCGTGAGCCGCTGGTTGCAATTTGCAACTCTCACCACTGGATGCCACTAAAACCTACACACTGAGCATTTAGCCTAAATATGATTCCAACCTTGTCTCTAAAACCAAATCTTAACCATCAAACAACCCTTTAAAGGTTTAGTGCATAAGTTTTAATGACATCTAGTGGTGAGGGTTGCAAATTGCAAAGAAGTGCAGGACTCACTAACTCTACATGAAATTACAATCCAACTAACGTTACACATTTTTTCTACCAGGGCAGTAAAAGTTTACCTAGCTGATCTGAGCTTCTATTCTGCAGGCCACCGTTTTATTGCCAGTAATATTGGTCAGCTGATGTCTCACGAACGTAACCGACAAATTTCTGTCCACGTAGCAAAGCCAAGACACAGCACTGGATAATAACTACATGAAATGAATCCAACTGTATATGTTACACCACTGACAAGGGAAACACGTTACTTCTCTCAGTGATTATGGCCAGCTTCAAGCTAAAGCTATCAAATAAATAATAGTTTTCATTTGCATTACTAAAGTTGTACTAACTTAACTAACTGTCCAGCAGAAAACAGGCAACTTCGTCGCTTTGAAAACATTTGTTCCACATCAGTGACTTCCATCTGGGAAAATCCAGAACAATTATATCCGTGATTTCTGCTGTCATCTGTCCCGACTTTGTCTGACTTCGCTTTTTTGACGACGAAGATTCACACACTGTCGGCTCGTGCTAAATAATGGTGTAGTCCTCCATTTGTCCAAATTTCACTTATTTTCTTACTTCTGATGAACCAGATGACTACTCAGAGACTATTGTTATTATTATTATATTATTATTATTATTTCCTCTTCTGCTTCTGCTTCTTCTTCGTACGCATTAAACATGGTGACAGGCTACACTCCCAGAAATATACAAGAAGAAGAAGAACAATGTAGTGACGAAATGCACTCTGTAGCGTAGTTTGTCAGTTTTGGGCTACTGTAGAAACATGGAAATGCAACATGGCGACCTCCATGTAAGGGGCACCCGCGGTTAAGTAGATAGAAATGGCTCATTCTAAGGTAATGAAACTTTATTCACTACTGAAAACATAGTTATGGATATTATATTCCATTTCTGTCTATAAATCCTCAGAAATATTACACACAGAACCTTTAAATAAGGGGGAATTGAAAAAAAAAAATCCAGTCCTCACAAATAGTTGGATACAAAACCACACACTCACACACATCAAATGGTCAGGGGTACCCAGTAAAATCAGCGTACGGAAATGAGCCCTTAATTGGGACCCCATGGTCCATTGCAGACCCATTTTAATACACACACACACACATACACACACATACAAATGTATACAGAAAACTGAATGCCATTGAAAACACTGGGGAACTAATGGGTTGCCAGTTTGAGTAATATGGACCCAATTTCATTTTGTGTTTATGACTGGTGACTGCATGCTGCACTAGTGTATGTGTGTGTGTGTGTGTGTGTGTGTGCATGTGTGTTTGTGAGCGTCGTTTCAATACATATGTGACTGTTTTGCATGTGTAATCGAATGCAAATGGACTTACTTATTTGTGTATGTGTCAGTGTATGTGTATGTGTGTGTGTGTGTTGTATGTTCTTGTGTGGATCTGTGTTCCCAGCACTGACAGGTGGGTCATGATGGTATTAGTATGAATAATGTGGTTCTTAATATCAAAAGATGGAGACACTGATATTTAGATGGAACAAGGGGGTCTGGTGAGAGAAAGGGTGGGGGGCATATGCTGGCTGTGCCATTTTGCTGTAAAAAGGTGTTTTCTCTTTTTTTTGTAGTGTTTTATAGTTGTGGTACAGTGTTTTTCATTATTTAACAATCCAACTCTGTATGACTTTAGACACTTTAGGAGGAGAAATGAAAAACTGTTTTAATTTATCTTTACTGGATCACTTGCCATATGTCAAATGATCCAGTGGAAATTATTGGACCAACCAAAGGTGTGAGCATTTACATTGGAAATGATTGTGTGAGTATCTTCATTAGAGTAAATTAATGTACATTATTATATGGGAACACAGATTTGGGTAATGGTGTTGCTTCCTTCCCATTCATTAGGTCTTATTTGCCAGAATTAGGTTTTGAATTAAATCATTGATTTGTTTAGAGCTGATTCTGTGGTATAACATATGTACATAACACACTTGTTCAAATGTTCGCAAAACAAAATTGAAGAAAACCACTAAAGATACAGATTAAATAAAATGATTATGATTAAGATTTAATTTACTGCTGTCATAGAATAAAGACAGCTGTCATTTGTTAGGTCGACAATGTTGCTAACACAGCCAAACATTAAGCAAGTGCAACAACAAAAGACTAGAAACCAGCTAATAAGTTATTACTTACTACTCCTACAGAAAGAAGGACAGCTTGGCATCTGTCTTGCAGCGTTTTATTTCACAAAGCTCTTGCCAACATCCGGCAGCTTTTTGCCTCGCCACAATCTATTCCTCGTCTTCGCCTCTGCCATTAGCTAAATTATGTCCTTAGAGGCTGCTGACCCCGGTTGTGTTGGCTGCCCGCCCGGGGCTTCTATCCACCAGTTGTAATTTTATGGTAGAAAAGTTATTGCTCAGTTACAGTAATACCATTGAGGTTTCTCATGTTGTATTGACCTTAAATCATGGCATGACTGCCACCATGTGGTCAAAACGCAAATGACAATTACAATCCAGAGCTAAAATGAAGCAGATTAAAAACTTTAATTAAACTAAATTAGGTCAAATAAGGATCATTCATTCATTCAAATTAAAAACAGAAATGAATCACATACTCTTGCCATGACCATCTTTTAAAATGTTTGAGTGATTTTTAAAGTAACATGCTAAGGATTTATTCATAACTCAGAATTCCCCCTTCCATTACAGAACAGATCGGGAGATTAATTTTAAGTAACTGCATATTTTTATTGTGTTAATCAAAAACAATCTGACATGACATTTCACAAAGATCTCTGGGAGTATTACAGTGCACCACGTTAACTTTGGCCTTTGAACTTTCACCTACAGACCGCTCTACACACACACACACACACACACACACACACACACACACACACACCACTGTTCCTTTGCCATTATATACAGAGCTCTGCTTTCCCCCGAAACTCACACACAAAAAACCACAAGCACACATTTCTCGCTCGCTCACACACGCACTCACATACACATGCTTCTCCTTGTGAGCTATCATACAGGGGTGCGTCACATGGCATGGGATACAACAGGAGTGTTGATGGGCTGTGTGACAACACAACAAAGACAGGACACTGTGTTCAGAAGGAGTTTTCCCAAAACAATGTTGAGGGTTTGTCCTTCTCAGCAGAACATGAACAATACAGATGCAAATCTACATTTATAAGAAAAATAAAAATCCACCACAACATATCAGCTTATCTTTGCACATAAATACATAGGAATAATAATAATTCAACATTGTGCTTTCTTTCTCTCACTCTTTCTCGCCACTGCACCATTGTCAAACGCGGTAGCCATAAACATTGGTCATGCAATTTCAAAAGAGCACAAGACAACAGCTGGCTTAAAAGGGAGACTCGGGCAAGTTTGACATCACTAACATTGTAAATCTCTTGTGAAAGAAAAAGAAGTTTAAACTCCATTTAGTGAATTAGTAAATGCAGATAGTGCATGTGTAGACGTGCTTCTTCCTACATTTAAACTTTTTTTCCCATGTCATTTTCTTTGCAGTAAATCCTGCATGTGATGTCAAAATGCAGAGTGTCCCTTTACACTAGAAAGTCAGTTCATTTGGGTTTAAAGAGTTAATTACATCTCTAGAAAGATTGTATATAAATAACAACAACAATGATTCCATACACCTAAAATCCACTCACAGACCTAGTTTGTGCTGCTTCCTGTTATCAGGGCTGTGTAAATTACCAAAGCCATATTTAGCCAATTTCATTTTATTCAAAAAATCTTTAAAGCCATGATACTCCAGCAACACTGGCACTGGCAGCAACACAAATTAGACCATATAATCATCATAAAAATCATATTGAGATTTTATGAATACAAAACATAAATGCATGTTTTATCTTACAAGGCCAGTTGCTTTCTTTCATGTAGATTGACAATGATATAATGAAGTGTGGTACCACAGGTAAGCTCTTTATCTGAGCCTGTACACAATAGACACTAGGGGGCAGGCTATACACACCATGTCAGCACAGACAACCAACAAACAAGGTTTCTTTACAGATAATACACAGAAAGAGACTAAAGACAGAGAGAAGGAAGACCTATAGTGTACCAATAGTCTATTAGGAAGAGATGACATCGTTAAGCAGCAAAAGTCATTGATCTGTAACACTACGCTGAGAATGATTCCAGCAGTGTATGAAGTCAGAGGGGGGGTGGGGGGGTTGTGGACAGTGAAATGCATTGTTGACAGTGCAGAAGAAGGCTCTTTCTTGGCATTTTACCGTGCTGAGTGAGGGGTCTCATATAGTTTGCATTTATCCATTTATCACAAAAAAATATGCAAAAACAGTGTAAAAGAACAAGGAATAGAAGTACCGCTTAGAATACAAAAAAACATATAAATATCATGCTAATATATATATACTGTACTGTAGCCCAGAAACATGGGTTGTCATTTTAGAATCCACTAACATCTTTCCTCTTTCTTTCCATCATATTAAACTACCCAAACCACCATTTTCATGACTTATCTTAAACGTAATGCAAAAAACATTGAACACAGCCAAAAATTAAACCAATAAATAGCGAATTTTAGTGAGGTTTTATTATTTATTTATTATGTCAAAACTGTTTTTTTGTTTTTTTAAATATGCACTTCCAATGCTTATTATAATATTTGTGTTTTTAAGACACCACATTAAAACCTAACCAAAACTTGTTCAGATGGAATCCAGGTCTTATTTGGGCTTTTATTTTCTTTTAGAGATTAACTTCTTTGTGCTCCAGCTATGTCTGTGTTCTGTAAACATCTCATCTTTCTCTCACATCATGGAATGCCAGTAGTTTTTCCACCCCTCCATTCTCTAGTGGTTTGGACCAGTAAAGCAGTATAATCATATCTGGCCAGATACAACAGCTCTCTACCCATGACTGCATTGTTTTGTGTGATTTATTTTGCTGCAACATGCCTCAATGTGCCTAAGGAAACCGCTAAGAGATCTACTATATAATATAACCAGTTCTGCAACATGTTCCACAGGCTTCCCCACGCTGCTGGCATCTCTACCTCTTCTGTGACTGCATTATGTAATATCCACAGAAAACCATGTGAAAAGTGAGGTTACTGGAAATATGTGCAACAAGAGCACCACAAGACATTAATCAATTCATCTGTTCATGTAGTAATAATGTTTAAAAAAGTGTTTGTCTGCATGCTTGTGCAATTGCACATAAATAGTTAAATGTGTTTCCAGTTAAAGACCATTACTTTCCAGTATATTCTAATTGTCACGTTTCTCCATTCCTTCCCATTATGCGCAGCACTCAAGTCAACAATTTTTCTATTGGTATGAAATCTTCGGGTAAGAAAAGCTGTGAGGAGAGTTCATCCAAAACTCTGGGGCTGTTTTTGATCTGAGAGGTATAGTCCAGAGAGTATGTGTTCATACTGTGAGCCACTATCTACATATAACATGTATAGCTAACATGTAGTAGGAAAACATTTTGCTTTGAATCCACCTTCCATATACAGTCAGTGGTAAAGGGAATGACAGATTAGTGTAAGGTTATTGCCCACAGATAAAGGTGGGTTCACTCCCACATACCTGCTTGTACACTTGACTACGCTAGTGGAACAGTGTAAAGGGATCGTGCAGAATCAATTTGGGCAGTAAGGCAGCACATGCAGGGGCTGGCCAGTGGGATGAGGGCTAAGGGACTGGAGTACCATATAGCGGGGGAATCCATAGATAAATATACATAATACCGGAGGTGCTGTGTGTGTCTGTCTGTGTGGGTTTTTATGTGCGTGGGTTTATCTGTATGTGTGAAAACCTCCAGGAGTTCTTGGTCTCTCAGTCTCTTTCTATCATTCTCCTCCTATCTCTTTGTATCAGTCATTATTTTCTCCCTCCATCTCTTTTTTTCTACGTTGTTACTCCCCTGCGCTGCGGGGAGCCCGAGGGTTTGGTTTCCCGTCGTGGGTCCGACGGTTTCTCCCCTTCCTTATCTCTTGAAGATGCTTCCATTTCTTGTTAGCCGGGTGAACAGCAGGACCCAGAGGCGGACCCTCCTTCCCTGGAGCAGGAAAGCTCTTATCCAATTGGTCACCACCTGCGTTCTTGCGTGCCCAAACTTGCTCACAAATCTGGTCAACGGTGCTTAGGTTAGGATGGTCCACCAGCTGCATGAAGTCCCGGTACCAAAGCTTTTGATTTGTCATTGGGGGCCCACCTCCGCTGCGGGGATCTAATCGGACAGGGGCATCGGAGGGTAGACTGGCTACTGAGGAGGATGTTGACTGCACAACTTCCAAGGTGATACCTAGTAAGGTTTGGGTGAAGCCGTGTTCCATGGCATGGCACTGGTAGATACCGATATCTCTCTTCAGGACACGGCGAATCAGAAGGCCTCTCTCTGTCTGGAGGATGCGGTCATCTAGACGCACCTGAAAAACAGAAATAGGTTTTATTGAAGTGTTGGCGCTTAACAATGTGCACCATTACCATTTTGTTTTACTGAATAAGTGTGTGTTTTAGCACCAATGTAAAGTTCCATGTATATGTGTAGAGATTCTGACACTGATTAATGGAAGAGCTAAGTGGCTCTAAACAGCACTACATATACTGGACTGAATGTACAAATATAGTGTTAAGCCCGTGTTTCATCAACTGCAAGAGCTTGCATTTTTCTCCCATCTCTTAGTTACAACCTCTCTCCACTCTCTACCATTGCCTCTCACCTCTTCCCGTGGGTTCTGTGATAGTTTCTGGAAGGTCCAGGTGACTCTGGCCTGAAGGGATTTGGGTATACACTCTAAGAAAGTGCTGCTTCCCTCAACTCCATACAGCTTCCTCTCTGCAACCCGGTACTTATGATGGTCTGCAGGAGGCAGCAGAGACAAGGACATTATGGGTCTACTGTAACTGAAGACATCTGCTCCATAATAACAATCCAAGACTACTAAACCAAAACTGAAAAAGGCAAAAAGGAGAGAAATGAACAGAAAGGGAAAGATGGGACAGGGCAGAACATTGCAGAGAGGTCAGGAGAGAAAAGGGCTAAAAAAAATCTGGACGAGGCAAGACAGGAAAGGAAAGACCTGGACAAAACAAGAATAGACAGGACAGACCAAGGAAAGACTGGAAAAATATGGGACAGAAACTAATTCAGCTGATAATGCTTGGCTATAAAAAACTTATCTTTAAAAATTATATTGTAAAAATAGTAAGTGGGCCTTTTTCAGTCTTGTATATGTATAAATACATTTGTTCACAAGAAAATATATAACCAACATTAGTTGTCAGCACAAAAGAGATCTTAGCCAACACTGATTAACGACTCTGTGTGGCAGCTGATGGGAAAGTTCACTAAAATCACACATAATGACATCATCTTGTAAAACTTTAGTGGATAACTGTCAGTTATAAAGGGGGTTGGTTTAAACATTTGGTCACATGTTTGATGTGTAACACTTAACAAGGACTCCTAAGGGTCCTGGCAGTGCTTAGTCATGTATGTTGCCAATATGAGTGATGAGCTTAAGTAACGACAAAGGATCAGTGTCTGTTTCCCAAAGCTTAACCTTAGCCACAAGTGAGAGGACTATTTCCAACATCAAGACCATGATTGGGTCAGAATAAGATTAATTTCTTTTCTATCCACCAGTGCTATACAAATTATTGAGGAAACAAAGGTGTATTAACTATCAAACTGACCCCTGATCTCACCCTCAATCAGAGACAATTACTCTGACCTTCATTAGTTTCACACAACCCAGCTTACGTGATGTAATCATATTATCCAGAAGCTCCTTCAGTTTGAGCGATTAGCCTGATTCAGTTATGTGGCAGAAAGACAGATAGCGACAGAATGCTGGTATTGTAGTCTATGGGCACAGAGGTCACCAGGGGTGAAGGGTGGAAGGATTTTGGATTTTTTTGGCACAGGGAGTCTCTGAGTAAGAGCAGGATCAGGGTGAGGCTTTGTTCTTATTAATTGAACATATGTCTGCGGCAGTCAAACTACAATACTGGTCACAGCTTTCGACAACCAAGACAAAACAATCATTTAAAAATAATACCTCCAGAGCACAGGGTGTTGGGGTCTCCGTTCCTTACATCCTGGCGACGGAAACGTCTGTAAAATGGTGTTATTAAGAGTTGTTATTAGAATTTGCTATAAGGAATTTTAAATTGCAAATGTTCTTGAGTGGCGTAAGGAATCATGTGGTGTGTGTCATAAGTGTTTGTTTCACAGACCTCTTGGTGTTTGGCAGGTAGCGAGTACAGGATGTTCCATCCCAGGCGCAGTACGGATCTCTGGCCAGGCAGCACTCCGCACAGGCCTTCCCATAAACACTGCAGCGGTGAAGGGGAACCTGGGCAATGCCTGTGTCTGAGCCAAGATACAACTGTTGCTGTGAGGGCACAGAGTGGAGAGACACGTTTTAACAGAGATTTTCAGGACTGAGCTCATATCAGAGTTAAAGTCAGTTTGTACTTTTATGTGTCTTAAATCTGACCATCCAGCTTTCTGTGTCTGTGACAATTCTTGTAATTTACGATGTGTCCTTGTGACACTGTATTGTTGACGGTCATGAACATACAGTAAAATGTGACAAATGTTGGGTGAGCATTCCCATGGAAGCCCAGTATGCATGTTAAATGATGTTTTGATCTATCACTAGGCCAGGTGGCCAATCAGCAACCCCTCTGGTTGTGTTCAACACAAATTCATTTTGAAATCATGTTCCTTTATTTGATGAATGTTAAGAGTGCAGGTGAGACTACAGAGTCACTGGTAATGCAAAGGTCAATGTTGTCTAAAAAAAGGGAACACAGTGGTCCATTGCTTCATCAGTGATTTAACGTATAAAACAATCATACCCGTTTTGAGGAGATCTGCATGTTGATGATTGATGAGGCATCCTGAAGAGCAGAGAAGGTACAGCTAGTGAATTACCATTCTACGTATGAAATAAATTAGCATTTTTAAAGAAATGAATTGCATGAATTGCCATGGATTCTCACTCAATATACAGTCAGTACTTACAGTTAATTTCTTATAGATAGAAGCACTTATTATAGTTTTCTTACTTTGAAGACCTCCAGCTCTTCCAGTAAAAGTTCCTCCATGTTGTTCCAGCTCTCCTTAGGGACATTGATCACCTTTAGTACTGTTCCTTTGTCTGAAATCAGAGATGCAGTCCATAAAGTCACTTGTCATGCATCATTATTCATCCATCCATGGTGAACCGCTTATCCTGCGTACAGGGTCGCGGGGGGGCTGGAGCCAATCCCAGCTGACATCGGGCGAAAGGCGGGGTACACCCTGGACAGGCTGCCAATCCATCGCAGGGCCACACATAGACAAATAACCAAGGATAATTTAGAGTCACCAATCAACCTAGTGTGCATGTCTTTGGATGGTGGGAGGAAGCTGGAGCACCCAGAGAGAACCCAAGCAAAACCCTAACCCTAACCCTAACCCCCGGACCACCGTGCCGCCCTCATTTAATTATCTTCATGTTTAAATATAAAGTTAAGAGTTAGAACTGAAAACAAGTCATTCACCTGTGCCAATAAACATGACATCATACTGTCCATCAGCAGCGCTGACTCTGTCCACAACAATCTGTGTGAAGCTGTAGTCCACATTAGTTCTGACGAAGACAGGCCGTCGGCTCATAGGGTAGACCGGATTATACATCAGAGGGTGGTGACGCGCAAACTGGATCACATCATCTGGGAAACCCTTTGTGGATTCAAAACTGCCGAATGTCTTGCTGGGACACTAAAGGAGGGCAGTAAAGACAAGTTTAATACATATTCCAGCATACGGTACTTGTTTATACAAACTTACTTTACAAGTCACATTTTGGTACCTAGTTTTCTGAACTTCAGTGGGGATGCAAAGTCAATTTGAAAGATTACATAAACTCTGTAAACACTGAAACATTTTGATAGCAAATATATATCCTGGGAATTTTTAAATCTATGAACATGCACATTTCATATTTATCAAAGGATTTAGCCACTCCAAGCAATTCAAAGTACTTTAATAATCCAGCCAATCAACTTATACTGTAAGGGATTTGTTATAGCTTTGCAGAACAGGACTGACGGCGTATACTAAGACACTCTTTGCCATGTTTGAACTCAAACATTCCATCATGACACATATTTGTTGACCAAAGTTTTTCTGTTTGCTCTGCATGTAAAGTGAAATAAAATGTGTGACTTGTCAGAGCCATGGTCCATCAGGCCACAGTGAGCTGATTGTGGTGTGATGGATCACAGGGACATGAGAGATTTTCTCAAGGTCAAAGTCCAGCCTCCCTCTGTAATTAAAATTCCAGTTTTGGACTTTTATTCAAGGGTTCTAAAATTGCACCAAAGTATGCTGTAGCATCTTGCAGTTTCTTTTTTATTGCTTGTATACAGTTTGCTTATGAAGTAAAAAACAGTTTGCATTTTAAATGCATGCAATTTTGGATAATTCACTAAGCATGATCGTTTTCTTTTAATTTAATCGGTTCCGCTGATTTTACAACCCAATGAGGTGATTATGGCGTGAGAGAGGGTTTACTGTAGACCAAATACAATTACTATTCTGCAGTAATACAATAGGGATTGTTCTGCTGTGGCAATAACAGCTGGAGCTCTGCATAACAAATCCTGCTGACGCTATGCTTATGGGATTAGCAGAATGTAAGCACTTTTATAAGCACATATAAGATCAATTCATCCAAAAGCTCTCCACACTCCTCCCAATCAATAAGTACTGGAAGTGTATTTGTCAAGTGTTTCTTTTAACTGCGAGGTGTCCACACTTGACAAGGACCAGACTTCGGATTTCACTCAGAATAATTTATTTGAATAATTGAACAGGAGTTGAACAGTATAGGTGAAAAACCTTTAAACACAGAAATAAAAAGCATTTTGAATAAACAGGTATTTCCACAGTAAACACAAGTCAAGGTAAATATTTCAAAAACGGTAAGTATATTTAAATTCAATATTATTCCTCACATTTCACCAAACTAATTATGCATTTTAATTAATCTTTAACAAAACAATTTTGGCTTACTATTTAAGCATTCTTTTACACAAATTAGGTAGAAAACCCACACATTTTAACCATATATCCATGCATTTGAACATAGTTTCTCCCTCTCTTCAACCATGCAGTGACAACTTTAACACACCCATATTAACACCTAAACAGAAAAGATTTAAACAACATTCAAGTGAGCTTACCGATAGCCCGTCAAATCAAAAGTCTCATTCCCCGCAGTGGATGTGTGCTGCTCATTCCGTCATGTCAGTCCCTTTCCACCAGCCAAATGACTGCGTTATATGCTCCCGCTGATTGAAGTGTGTGCGAGCTTCTGATTGCTCAATCTAATTCACCTGGTCGAGGGTGCGCCAGGGCGCGCACGCACGGTCACACGCGGCTGCCGATGCAGAGCGGGGCGGCACGCAGGTGAGACGGCATGCAGGAGGAGGCGGGCACACGGGAGACAGGCGCACCTCTGCCAGATCAGCGCGACACCTCCCACTCGATCTTTACGTGGCGGCGCCCGGAAAGATCGTACTCTCAGGTGGGCTGGTCTCTGACTTGATCCTCCCATGGTATGAGGACCACAAGGCGCCGGACGTCCCGATGCAGTATGGTACTTGATCCAGGATCTGCGGCACCAGGTCTTGAGCTTCTCACAGAGATGCTGGAACTTGGGGAGACTCTCACATGAACATCTCGAACGACACCTCTGAAATCAGGATTTGCGCCGATGACTCTTGCAAGCCTGAACTGCCCTCTCAGTGCATTTTGGTCGCAGAGCCAAACTATGTCTCCAATGGTAACGTTCCTTTCAGCAGTATGCCACTTACTGCGAAAACAGGTTCGGGCCAGCAAGTTGGCTCCAGGACTTCCAGAAGTTGTTTACTATCGTTTGCACTTCTTTGAGCCTCTTGAATGGGTAGTGGTGTAGTCGACAGTTTTGAAGTCTCCACTTTGTGTAGCTCGACCAAGCAATAAGTTGTTCGGCGTGATGTACTGGATGCGCTCTTCTCGGCTTTGGACTCTGGCGTCAATGGGTCTCTCATTGGCAAGATTAGCAGCTAGCTGGAGCACTGTCAGGAACTCACTGAAGGTAAGACCTTCTACATTGCCAAGGCTTTGGAGGGCCTCTTGGTGACTCTGACAGCAGCTTCGGCGGCTCCGTTTCGGTGAGGTGAATCGACCGGGAGGATTTTCCACATCCAGGTCGTCTCATTTTTGGCAGCATACTCTTCAAGTGACTCTTTGCTCTGTTGATTCAGGTAAGTGTACATCTCTTTAGGACAGGTCTCGCTCCGACAAAGTTCGTACCAGGATCAGACCAGATTTTACGGGGATGGCCTCGGACAGCGGTGAATCTCTGGTAGGTAAGCAGGAAGCTCTCTGTTGATAGTGTGTTTGCCAGCTCGACATGAATGGCTCGGCTGGACATACAGCAAAACACGACGCCCCATACTTTCATGGTCACTCTCTTTTTGACATCATCCTTAACATGGTAAGGTCCAAACAGGTCAACGGACGTAAACTCGAATGGTGCAGCAGGACTAGACCTCTCATCAGGTAAGTTTCCCATTATTTGCTTGCAGGTTCTTGCTTTTGCTTTCTTGCAGACGATACACTTGTCAACGACTTTTTGGGCAATGACCCTTCCTCTGATGACCCACGCCTTTATCCTCATCCGCAGCAGGGTTCCCGCCACACCTTCATGTCCCTTACTGTGTGCTTCTCTGGCTAGCAGGGTAGATAACCAGGCTTGGAAAGGTAGGAGGGGAACAGCTCTGCGGTCTTCTTTGAAGGTCTGGATTCTCCCACCACAAACTAGAAGTCCACTTGTTTGGTCTCTGTAGACGACTAATCTGTCTGTTGTGGTGCCTGGGAAGTTGACGCCCTCTTGTGCTGCTAGGCAAAGGTCTCGAAACACGTCCCGTCTCTCTCTGACTGTAAGGATACCCGAGGATGGTACTGCCTCCCACTTTTCTTGGTCTCTGGTTTTGGCACTTAAGAACTTTTTAGCTGCTCTCCAGATCCAAGCCACAGTCCCAATCAGCCTTCTCAGGTTGCTGAAGCGCTTTCCATCGACTAGATGCCGGACTGCTGCTCCTGCTGGTGGTCTTTCATACTCTAGCTGGGCTGGATTTTGTGCCGTTTTCAGGCGACATCTGGAGAGTAGTGCTACGAATGTTTTTTTCTGGATCCTTGTGACTTTGTCCCGAGCTTGGGCTGCGACGTCTCTGGCGGATTTCTTTGGCCACTCATCGTCAGGAAGTTGGAGGAACTTTGGACCCGACTGCCACTCGGAGTCCTCAGTTAGGGCATCTGGACTGGCCCCTCTAGTGATGATATCTGCGATGTTTGCTGGCCCTGGAATCCACCACCAGTCTTGGACGTCGGTACTGCTCTGGATCTCACCAACGCGATTTGCGAAGAAAGTCTGGTAGCCATAACTCTCACGCTGTATTGCACCCAGGACTGTTTGACTGTCGACAAGATGATACCATTTCTTGACCTGGAGTCGGCAGTGTCTCTGGAAGTAGGTCTTGAGGCGGGCTGCGAAGACTGCTCCGCATATCTCAGCTTTTACAGGATCCCCTTTGTGGTCAAGGGGGGTCAGCTTGGATTTGGATTCGACCAGTCTCACAACGACACCACGGCTGCAACTCCAGCGAAGATACATCACTGCGCCATATGCGTGTTGGCTGCCATCAGAGAATGTGATTGCACTGGGCTCTGCGCAGAGATCTGGTGGAGTCAGGGATCTGGTGAAACGAAGTTGGCTCAGGTCAGCATATTCTTCCAATAGCTTTATAGCGTCTTCTCTGAGACCTTCAGACAAAGCAGCATCCCACGAGTCTTCTAGCCAGTATTTTACCTTGGCTTCTTGAAAAGCTCTCCTGACCAGGATGGCACCCTTTTGTTTGACAGGAGTCACAAGGCCGAGTGGGTCATACAGGCTAGAAACCTGGCTTAGCAGCTCTCGTCTGGTGAGTGGATCAGGTGTTTGATTTCTGACCTCCTGTCTGAGCAGGTTTTGACCAAGGCGCATCTTTCTCTTTTCTTTGAGAAGTTAACTGCAACCATGACATGGAGTTTGTCGTCATTGATGGTGTAACCAAGGCCAAGGGCTTTGTTGTCGTCTTTTGTCAGCTGGTTTGGTAGGATCATAGTCTTTGGTATCTCATCCTTGGGTTCTTTCCTCCCACCTTGAATGGAGTAAACCCAGGGCTTTATGTGGAATCCTCCAGCTTTCAGGATGTGTTTGATGTTGGCTGTGAGGCATTTCAGATGGTCAAGGTCGTTATGTGAAGTCAGGATGTCGTCGACGTATACATCTTCTCCCAGCACGCGTCTCTCTTCCTTGAAGTGACTGAATGAAGGTAAGTTCGCAGTTTCTCGCATGGCGACTTGGGCTATGCAACCGGCAGGTTTGTCTCCGATGTTGACTCTTGTTATGGCAAAATCTTCTATTTCGGCATCTTCACTGTCACGCCACAGGAATCTGTGCAGGTGGACCTCCGATCTTCCAGCCAGACAGAGTTGTACATCTTCCGGATGTCTCCAAGGGCAGCGTAGACACCAGTTCGGAACCTCAATAAGACAGCTCGGATTGGGTTCAGGACATCAGGACCTTTGATGAGGATGTCGTTCAGACTGAGACCTCTGCACTTTTGGCTGCTGTTCCACACTAGTCTGACTGGGGTGGAGACTGAGTGTGGGTTTAGTGCAATGAGATGACTTATGTACCACACTGGCCCGGTCCAACTCTGCAGAATGTCTTTGGACAGCTTCATTGCGGCCCTGCGGTTCACCATCTCATGGATCTGTGCAGCGTAGGCCGCCTTCCACTCAGGTTCTTTTGATAGCTGCTTCTCAGTTCTGAGGAATGTTGCCTCTACTGCTTTCCTGTTGTTTGGCAGGGTTGCTGGATCTTCTGTCCATGGATACTTAGCATGCCAGTGTGGTTCGGTGCTGTGTACATCTCCAGTCGTGTATGTCAAACCATTTCTTATGATCTCCATCTCCCTTTCTTCTGCAAGAGTTATCTCCTTTCCCCCTGGCTGGCAGTTCCCGCAGCGACACCCTCCACATCTCGGCTGACAGGCGGCTCCGATGCTCTCCCACCTCCACCACTTCAGAAAGTCTTTGCTGCTGGTGGCTGTGTTAGACTGGGTCTCGGGGTGGTCGGGATACTGGCAGGAAATTGGGTCTGTCTTGAATTCGAGATATTTGACTGCTGAAGTTCTCATTGATCTGGCGAAGTGAGTCTTGGACGAATGGGCCATCAGGGTGACTTCCTCAAAGAGGTCTGGATGCATGCCCCCGACTGTCTTGCCTAGTGGACCCTCCCAGAGCACCAGGTCACCAATTGAACGGATTTTTTGGGGCACCAGCTGGCCTTCTTTGTGGCTGATCAGAAGCTGGATTTCTCTGGGTCTGATGAAGTCTTTGAGGGGAACATCAGGAAAGATTTTCTGCAGCTTGTCAGGTTGAACATGTCGGTGCACCTCTGCAATTTTGTCAAGTCCGTAGCAGATCAGTTGGTGAGACTTCAGAGTTCCTTTTGGAGTCCTGACTCTGATCTTGAGGAGGTAGCGCTTTGTAGCGACAGATACTTTCATCCCTCCGACGCCATGGACGACTAGTGCGACATCTTCACTGCGAAGGTTCAGCTTGCTTGCAGCTCTGTGGGTTATGTAATTTGTGTCAGACGCCAGGTCAATAAGTGTTCCGATTCTTTGCCCGTCATTGGCAGTGACGTTAAGGAGCATCAGGATCACAGGGTACTCGTGCAGACCAGTCTCCTCCAGAAGGCCTCTCTCTCCTCTCTCTGCTGCAGTGGAGTTGTATGCTCGAGATGCGATGTTGCAGAAAGCATTGCGACACTGCTGCGCTAGCTCAGGTGAAAGTTTGGAAAGAAACTCTTCCTGGGCCTCGGTGTAATTTTTCCCCTCAGCTCTCACCGGACCAAACTTGGGTCTTTGGGACAGCTGTCTGGGTAAGGGACAGAGAAGGTAGTGGTGTTGGTCTCTGCACTCTGGATTCCCACACAGGTAAGTAGTTTCTCTGCAGGGTTCATTGTGGATTTCGAGGCACCTCTTGCAGGCTCCGAGCTGTTGCACTGCGTCCCTCTTTTCCTGGAGCTTTGTGGTGGTTCTAAACCTCCTGCAGATGTAGAGCTTTCTTTTGTGTTTTGGATCTCCGCAGATGATGCAGCCTCCTAATTCACTGCTGGATTTAGTTGTCCTTGTTCGGGCATGCTTTGTTTGAAACCTGGTCTTCTCCTTGGCAGGGTCGATGTCTCTCAGCTGTTCTAACTGCTCGTAGATAGACTCTTGGGATTGGAGGTATGCCAGTAGCTTGTCAAAGCGGTTCTGGTGGCTTACAGCATTTCTTGGGTCAGCAGCGTGGGTAAGCCAGTCTTTCTTCAGGGACTCTGGCAGCTTGCTCTCGATGGATTTTATTACTAGTGGGTTTTTTATGGCATCTGCATTGCTCAGTTCATTTAAATCATAGAGGGCCTTTTCCACTGCTTGGATGAGCTCTACGATTCTTCTTGGGTGGTTACCACGAACAGGTGGGATAGCTTGTAGCTCCTCGACAATCTCAATAGCGATGGTGGCTTGGTTTCCGTAGCGGTTCTCTAGGACTCTGAAGATCTCGTCTGCTGAGGTGTAAGTAGAGAGCCGTAGATCCTTGGCCACTCTTTCGTCGAGGCTATCAAGTAGTTGAAATTTCTTCACCTCTTTGGATCCGGTTGGTTCACCTTGCTTCTGTAGAGCCTCCCATTCTTTCCTCCATCTGTAATACTCACGCTGGCTGCCGGTAAACTTTGGTAAAGCTGTGGCTTTTAGCTTTATGGCTGCAACAGGGGCTGCGCTGTGGGCTGTGACAGGTACTCTGTTGCTGTCCTCTTTAATACTTGCTGCTCCAATCAGGGCGGCCTTCCTCGACACCAGCTTGGGAAGGAGGGTTTCGAGCTCCGTTAGCCGACGATTGAAATCTTGCTTCTCGGCTCGTGGAGCCCAGCGGTTCCAGGTCTGGTGCGCTTCTTTGGCTTTGTGCACCAGGCTCTCTAAATGGCGGAGCATAAAGTCATATGCCTCCAGGGGTGTGTCAGGCTGAGTGGAGGAGACGTTCTCGCACTCTGCCTCTGCAGCTTTTAGAGCAAGGGTCAGTTCTCTTTCACCACATGAGGCCCATAATGTCTCCTGGACAAGGTGCTTTACCTCTTTTAACTTCTGCTCACACTCTTTCTCCGTCTTCTCTATGTCAGCTCTCTGTTGGTCGCTTAACTCAGGTGCGCCCTCTGCTTCGGTTCCTTTGCCCTGTGCAATGTAAGCAGCCTCAAGCTCCTCATTTGCATCCATCACTTTAGCGCCCTCTGCTGTGAGTCTTTTGAAGTTATCTTGCAGCTCCTCCACAGACATCTCCATGTGGGTCCTCGTTATATGGTTGGTGAGTCGGGAAAAAAGTCTCTTTACTGTAGTTCGCTCTGTTTTCAGCTCTTCGAGTGACTTGGACTCGGCCATGTTGCCTTTTTTGGCTGTTGGACTGACAGGTGAACGGCAGGTAGTTGATTTCCTCCAGGCCCCCAGGTGGAGTCTTCTCCCTCTTTGTGGTGGGCTCTTGTGGAGTCTTCACTTGCCACGGCCGGTTTCCTACCGTCAGGTCGGTTTTTCACTGTCAAGTGTTTCTTTTAACTGCGAGGTGTCCACACTTGACAAGGACCAGACTTCGGATTTCACTCAGAATAATTTATTTGAATAATTGAACAGGAGTTGAACAGTATAGGTGAAAAACCTTTAAACACAGAAATAAAAAGCATTTTGAATAAACAGGTATTTCCACAGTAAACACAAGTCAAGGTAAATATTTCAAAAACGGTAAGTATATTTAAATTCAATATTATTCCTCACATTTCACCAAACTAATTATGCATTTTAATTAATCTTTAACAAAACAATTTTGGCTTACTATTTAAGCATTCTTTTACACAAATTAGGTAGAAAACCCACACATTTTAACCATATATATCCATGCATTTGAACATAGTTTCTCCCTCTCTTCAACCATGCAGTGACAACTTTAACACACCCATATTAACACCTAAACAGAAAAGATTTAAACAACATTCAAGTGAGCTTACCGATAGCCCGTCAAATCAAAAGTCTCATTCCCCGCAGTGGATGTGTGCTGCTCATTCCGTCATGTCAGTCCCTTTCCACCAGCCAAATGACTGCGTTATATGCTCCCGCTGATTGAAGTGTGTGCGAGCTTCTGATTGCTCAATCTAATTCACCTGGTCGAGGGTGCGCCAGGGCGCGCACGCACGGTCACACGCGGCTGCCGATGCAGAGCGGGGCGGCACGCAGGTGAGACGGCATGCAGGAGGAGGCGGGCACACGGGAGACAGGCGCACCTCTGCCAGATCAGCGCGACAGTATTAAGTGCCAATACAACGTATATCACAACTACATCATATGAAATGAATGTATCCATTGATACGACTTTGTATTTTTACAGTTCAGTGCACTGAATGGAAAGTACTAGCAGTACCACAATGTTGTACTCCTTTCAGTTCTCGCATTAAATTATTTGATTCAAATAAATGTTACTTTAGTTAAAAAAAAAAGAAAATGTTCTTTAAGATCAACTCAAATACTCATTTGGCATTGTAATTATTATCATATAATAAATATATAAATAATTATTATTACTGAGGCATTAACATGTGCACAGAGATTTTAGGTTGTAGCTGGTTTTATGTGAAATTTTAACTACATTATGTATTCTTGGGGAATTTCTTCTACAGTACAGCAGTGTATCATATTGTAAGCTGATCATTTGTTTTGTTTTGTATTTAACATCTGAATTTACAAAGCAACTAGAAACTATAGCTGTCATATAAATATAGTGTACTGTACTTCTTAATAAGTAATAAGGACAATATTTCCTTCTAAAATGCAGTAGCATAAAATGCAAATACAAGTATCTAGAATTGTACTGCTCCTCTGTAAATGTTTCTTTTCACCGGGTTTAGAAACTCTTGACACTACTCTATGGATGGGTCTTGATTGTTATTGACATACCATTCCTGGGCGGGGATAGGGAACTTTTCCCTGGAAGGGAACCCACTGGTAGTTGGGCCCCTCTTTGTGAGCAAAGGGCCCCAGGAAGGCCCTCCGGATGTCATTCATGGAGTAGAGACACACAGCTGAGCCTTTAAATACACTGCTGCTGGGGGACAGAGGGAGCTGGGTTAGAAACATCAAAACACACACATAACACACACACACACACACACACACACACAGACATACACACAATGAGTCTGACCTGGAAGTAGAGAAGACAGTGTAGACCAGAGGGTTCTTTCTGTCCCTCGTCTGCAGCAGGAACACATCGCCTGAGGACAGACACACACACACACACGAACACACACACTCAGGTCAGGTTGTGGTAGTCCAGAGGTCAAAGGCTGAAAGAAAGATAAGCAAAGCCCTATGGCCATGTCTAACTACTTTAAAGAGACATTTGAGGACATATAATCACAGGGGATGTGATGGACACATTTAGCCTCAGGTCGGGTTAGGATTTATAAATATAATTCCTCTTAGTTCACCCTTCAAGAGAAGCACAAAGATGGATCATATTATTGCAAACAGATTTGGTCAGACAGATCAATCAGAAACATCTTGAGAACTGAATCTGCCTCTGAATAAACCACATGACTGAAGGTTTGGTGTTTCTTTTTGTGAGGCGTGATAGTCAGGTGTTGATTGCTTTAATCAGAAATTGTGCATTCTTTTCATGATTCCTATAAGTCATGGCATTTGAAAGAATATATATTTAAGTTTTAGTGACTTTAGTTTTACTTTTTAAGATAAAGTGCATATGTTGTGCAATTGATGGTTCGCTCTTACTAAGCCAGCCAATCTTTCTGTTCTTGCCCTGCACATATGTGATAGTAGTGGCAAGAAAATTTCTTCGTAATTTTTTAAAACAGTGTGTCCTTGATTTCAAACAGAGGTATACAAAAACAGCTTCCCATGATTAGTTGCTGACCTTCAGTTTTGCCAGTTGAAATGACAACTGTCACTGGCACCTATCAGACGTAACTTGCTATCTAAGATACTGTAATGTCAACTTAACTCCATGTGTTGGCTGCAAATCTTGTCTCCTGCAGACTTTTTCCACCTGGCTCGTTTTAAAATGTGAACCTTGTAAACTCGGTCTTACATATGGAGTGTAGAGCTAATTAGTCGCAGTGCAGAGCTAGTTAATCTTTTTTTTAAGTATGATTAGAAAAAAGGAGGACTACCTCATGTATTTGGAAATCGTAATCCAATAAACAGATGCTTACACACATCTTTTTAGCGTAACAAGTTAGTTAATCGGGCATGCTTAAGTTTTCCATTAGGAATGGATTGAACAGTACATTTGTCTGCTCTTTGTTCTTATTTGTCTCCTTTATTGTATGCTTGGTTTATGAAAGGCAAAAAAGACACTATCCTCTTTGGAGTATCGCTCTTCTCATACTCAGCATGTGAACAAATCCAGAGCTTGACAGCCTTGGCGTGACAATTATGGTTAGATGGTATGACTGGACAATTGCTTGGAGGAATGCTTTAGCGAAGGGCCAGTTGTTGCCGTGGACATGATTTACACTTCTTTAGTTCATAGATTCTTCCTAGATTTACAGCTTTTTACTGTACTCATAATTTACAAAATCATATTTATCATATAACATATCTGTTAGTTGTGAATATTTACGAGTCCAGTGCTTGGCTGGACTGGCACCAGACATTTGTGGAACTGTCCAAGTGAGTTTAAGTGAAATTACTGTGTGTCTTTATCATAAAATATTTCCTCTGCCCACAATTCATGCTTTAGCCGAGCTTCTGGATCCTGGCTAATAAAAACACATTACTGTCTTTTGTCATTGGAAGACTCACCAGAGACAAGCCTGCAACTTACACTGAACCCACAGTAAAAACACTGCCTCAGATCAGGCAAGAATCTATTACCAATTAATCTCTCACTCATGCTTTCTCCAAGTCTGCAGGAATGTGGGGCTGAATGGTAATCTACAATAGAGGTCAAATTGAATTGACAAAGCAAGGTTGGAAAATGAGCACAAATTTCAACTCTTTGTTTTGCTTTTTTTAACCAAAAAATTTTTATTTCTTTAGCAAACTACACAGTTATTTGGATAGTTAGTGTCTGAAATGGGGACATAAAATAGATACCCTGGACTTCATTTGAGTCGACAGTAGGGCATCTGTCTGAGGTGGGTGAGGTCAAAAGTGTGCTTTCTTCAATATAAGTATTATGCAGAGTCTTCACCTAAAACATCAGTTATGTTACATCATACTTTTATCCAACATAATTTCTGACATAAATGAGTTGGTACAATGCAGTATCTGTCTGTGTGCACAGTGAACTTACGCAGCTCGTCAAAGTATGTGTCACTGCCGTCAGCTCCTGGCACTGAGCATATCAGACGAGTCTTGAGGAATGTCGTCCACTTGTTCACCAGACTTCGCTGACCGCCCATGTCATTCTGATACATGACAAAACAGTCAGGAGTCGTTTAACAGGATATAACATTTAACGTGTGAAAGAAGACAGTGAGGGCAGTGTTATAAATTGGGCACCAGCCACATTCACCACTTAACCAACAGAATATGACCTCATTTTGTTACAGAATCTGTCACATAGCCATGCTGAGCGGGTCTGGTGCAGCCCGGTGTGTTTTTTTTCACAAGACTGAACTTAAGTGATGAAACGACCTCTCACCCTGCAGAGTTGTCCGATGCGAGAGTAGGTGGACTTTCCCAGCCCCTGGGCCTCAACTGCCGTCTCACGGAAGAAGAAAAATACCTTGTCATCATCGGGGTTTTCACTTTCTGGGACCCAAAAGGAACCAACAAATTTTGGTTCTGGTAGACAGAAAGAGGATCAATGTCAGTAATATCGGTATTTATGAAACATGCTGTGAGTTTTGTTCTAATCACAACCACACTGAGGTCAGTTAGAATATAAAGTGGAGTCAGCTGAAAAACAATGTCTGTCTAGGCTGACACATAAACACACACAAACACACACAGACCATTGAGCCAGCGTGAGTCATGCTGTTCAGTACGGATGGAGGGGCGTTTCCCCAGACTTCTAAAGATGGTGAAGTCCCGTCCCATTAAGTCCGTGGCCACCCCTGCATATAGCTCATCACCTAGGAGACAAAATGAATCAATAACTGACTGATTAGTTGTGTGACCTTTACTGGTGACCAGGTTCAAGAAGATAAAACGTTCTTAAACAAAGCCTTTTTTTATAAAACCATGGTTAATGGATAATCAGTTTATATTAATGTGCAAGCGTTCAGTTACCAACGAGTACAGATGCAGCATTGTGGCGAGGATCATACGGACTCTTCCCTTTCCCGTCCTCCACCTTGGAGGGGTCAATTCTGAATACATGGTCCTGATGGGGAGAGAAGACAGGAAGAACTGGATTAAAAGTGTGATCACACGTTCACTTTGTTATCTTGTGCCGACTCACACAGTCATTTTTTGGGATGGATTTCCGGTTGGATATTTTGGCAGCATGAGTAAGTCAAAACAAATTTGAAACCAGCAACTTGACCTAAGCATGATGAATTTGTCAACATGCTTTCCCACAATTTACCCTCTCTGCAGCATCAGTCTAGACTCTAGTCTGCCTTGAGTCAATTTTTGTTTGATTGTATGGTTTCCAAGCCTTACTAACTACAGGATATTAGATGTCAAAATTCATCCCTTTAAACGCATAAACCTTGTTTTTTTAAGGTTCTTTCCTGCAGTATGTTGAGATTATATTCATAACAAACAAAGCAAGTAGTGATTAAAATTCTCAGCATAACTGCATTATGACTGCATGATGAGTGATTAACTTACTATAGCTATAAAATGTATTCATGCAAAACAAATTGTGTATGTATGAGATACTTGAAGTGTCTCAAACAAGCCTGTATAAGTTTATGTTTTGTTCATTTCTCACCTCCATCCTATGTCCCACCTCTACGAAGGCACAGGTAGGGTGGAAGGCTCCGGTTCCACAGGCATACAGGTGGGTGCGGTTATAGTGGTGCACAATCTTCACATAGTTCACACAGTCAGACTGAGAAAGACACATACAGAGATATACAGTTTCAGTTTACCTATGAATAGCAATTTGAAGGGTAGTAGTTCATGCATATAGGGGGGAAAATCCAAATCAATGTAGATTCTGCTTCAGAGCATTACACACAATCAGGGTTACAATTCTAGTAAAGAAATACTGAATCTTTTTATTTAAATATATTTGTCTAAAATGGTCAGATTGAAATATTCTTTAATAAATTGGTGAAATTTGTCTTTAAATTAACCACTGTGTAGCATTTACTGGTACAATGTCAACAATACTAAAATTCCCAGAAAAAATGCCACGGACGTGACTGCAGTTAGCCGTAGCCCAGTTTAAAAGTGTAAAAACAAGTTAACGTGACAACTCAAGGAAAAAACACACAGTAAATCCAAAAACGACCAAAACTCAAACAGTGTCTCTCTTTCGGTTTAGTGATGTACATTCCTCACATAGCTCCTCTCACCCTGTCTGCCTGTGACAACACTGTCAGGTCCTCAGCTGCACCTCCGAACATAATGTTGTGACAGCCTTTGTGTCCTGTCTGTACACACGCATGTCTACAGTGTGTGTGTGTGTTTGTGTGTGTGTGTGTGTGTTTATACAAAGGGTAAAATGGTCATATGAACCTCTGTGTGAAAGCACACAACGGTCAAAAGCATAATGAATGCCAACTGTGAACTTATTTACACAGTATGGATTTCATATAACGCATTTGCCTTTTTCCTGCATGTCACTGGGTGTGAAACACAAAGCAACAGTATTAGATAACTGAGACAAACAGATGGAACAAGAAAGCACACCAAAGGGGGGAAGCTTTCTGCTTCACTAAATAGCTTGTAGATAGTTAAAACCTTTACACCAGTAAAGCTCGGTTAGATGAATCAATAACTGACAACATCGATAACAGTCTCATCTCTCTGTTCAGTAAGCAGCTGGTTAGCTTGGTTTGGAAATTGTGTGTCATTTTATTGGTTTGCATGCATTAACCAAAAGAGAAATGATTTGTTGGGTCATGAGCTTTAGAGGTGCTGATATGTAGATTTTTCTACCTGCAGACAGAGTCTGGCTAACTGCTTTAAGTCTTTATGCTAAACTAAGCTAACCAACTGGTGGCTGTGGCATTTAGGGTGAAGTTATGAGATTGGTATGGATTTTCATATCTATCTCTCGACAAGAAGAAAAACAAGTGTATTTCCCAAAATGTAAAACTATCATAACTATCACAACATTTGCTTCTCATTTTAAACTTTTGTTTTAATCAGCGAGCTGACACCAGCCAAGATTAGAGAGATTTTAAATGAAAAAAGAGTAAGAGTAAGACTAAGTTGGTGATCACTTTTTTTTAAACAGATCACTTCCCATTCCATTTTTATTTCTCTGCCTCCTTTATCCTCATTCACATCAACAACTTTCAGCACCGTTATCCCTTTCTTTATTCTTCCTCTTCTTATCTAGACAGCAAGTTATTGAACTACAGTCACATCTGTCCATCTCTGAGTCAGGTAACAGTAAGCTGGATCTCAGGAGACTGCTGGAGAAAAGATGTACTGTACACAAATGGACTAGATGATACACACTCCTTTTCTAGCCACAGTCCTGGTCTTAACACCAGGTTTTGAGGAACTTGGCCCGTTTTACTATCCCATTAAGTGAGGAGAAAATGGACACCATGATTATCATGATAACCCCCATGATTGTCAGTGCTCTCCAGCCCCAGGGCTCAACAATATATGTCTGTGTTGTCATTACAAACCTATTAAATTTCCCATAAACCTAGACTAGTCAGTAAGATATTGCTGGCTTTACACATCGCTGTAAACACACAGACACTGGCCCTTACATCTAACTGAACGATCCCTCACTTTCTGTCCTGGCTACTTTTCCCCAGACAGGCAACTGTAACATATGTCTGTCGATCAAGTTACAAAAACACTGTGGGAGCCCCAGGGGCCACTGGAGAAGAGGTTTATAAAGGCATGAATGGTCTTGGTCTTAATCTTCCAATTTTGATGAAAGATTGTAAAACTGTTTTGGCTTTATCAGAGGAACACTCAGTTTTTTCACACTTTTTTTTCCTAATGTTTGCCTTTTTATATTTTATATTGCTTTCATGTTTTATTTTTTCATTTGTGATCTCTGTGTTTAATTCCTAGTTGCAAACCAAATTCCCTTCAAGATAAAGATTGAATGATGTTATTTTAAGTTAAATTATGAATGGCAGTTCATTTGGCATGGCAGTCTATTTCTTAATTTTTCTGTTTATCCATCTCTATTTACTCTCTTCTCTAATCAAATTGTTTTCTTTATCTGTCTGCTCTGTCTGTCAGCCTCACCCAAGGATGACAGACAGACAGGCCAGGTTGTGAAAGCAGTGGCAGAAGCGGAATTGTGGCTCATTAGGCCTGACACCCTACCCACCCACCCACACACACCCACACACACCCACACACACACACACACACACACACACACACACACACACACACGTCTTGACCCTCAAATAGCCCTTTAATCACTCAGCGGTTCAGAACAAAGGTCTGCCTTTCAGCTTCTGAAAACCACCAGGGGGGTAAGAGTTGGAGTTGTTGGTGTGTGAATACATACATGCTTCTGTGAGTTTGTGTGTGCATGCACATGTGAAGGTGTTCAACTAATCAACGTGCTGATTAAGGTGTTGACCAACACAGGAGACCTCTGTTTCTCATGAAAGAAAGAGGCACACACGTTCCACTTTTGCCTCCACCCTGAAGCTGAAACACACATTTACACAATGAATGAACATACAATCACACAAACACATGCCTCACCAGCTTCCCATGTTCCTCTGATAAAACATACTCATCCTCATATTTTAAAACAGCTTTTTTCTCATGATACCCAGTGTGTGTAGCTGAAACAAGACTTCCTCCTCCTTAATCAATCTCATACTGCATTTTAAGCCCCTCTGCTGACTCCCTCACCTTCCTCTGCCCTGTGACAAAGTCAATTCTTTGATGTGACAAAAGGGAAAGAGAGCAGGAGGAAAAGAAAAGGTAGGAAGAGAAAAGACCCTTGAAAGACCTTGAAAAGATCAGAAAGAAAGGAGGACAATGAGGGAGGTGTTTGGAGGTTATGCCAGCAATTACGTGTGTGTGTGCATGTGTGTGTGTGTAGGTTTTAAAGGGTTCACTGGCCAACCTTTGACCTACCACTGACTCATTAGTAGAAACAGTGAGCAAAACGCAGGCTGTGACCTCACTGCAGCCTGAGCTTTAGGTCCTGCCTTCATGTCAAATAAAGCTGCATTGTTCCCCTATGGATGTATTTTTTCTCTCTTTATCCTTTTACCATTCTAGAAATGATTAACCCGATCTACCTATTTATTACTTCAGCCATTGTCTGAGCATCTGCTGCTTCTCTCCATCTCTGTCCATCTCACATAAACTAGGTTTCTTACAAGCATTATGTATTGAGCTGTAAAAGTCCTTTTTTGATGATCCCCAAATGAAAATTGGAAATTCTTCCACCATACATACATACATACAAACAGAGCTACTGTTTGTCTTTCATTCTCTGTTTTGATTGTGTCTAAAAGCGAAGAGTCCCACTTCGATAAAGTTAATGGCTCAGAGTGTTTGACACATTACTCCTGCAACCGAACTGTTTTCTTCTACAGTTCGGTTGCAGATATTATTGTAACTTTACAGCTACAATAATATCACAGAGGAACCCACTGAAGCAATGCAGGATTTCATTTTTTCTGTTACTATAATGGATATTCTCAATTGTTCCAGTAAGTGTTGTTTGCGTGTGTAAAGTGAGTCCCCACACACTGATGTCTACACAGTAATTCTACACAGTGAAAGTCAAAAAATGATGCTTGGTGCTTTTCAGGAGCATGCTGTGCACACATATGGTGGCCTCTAAGCTGTTTCACTCAATAGTTAAAGGTTAAGACCCTCAAGGGTACTTGAAAATATAGGTATTTCTTATCAATGTTGGGTGGTTGTTCATTTAGCCCACCGCTTTGGTTCAGACAGAAATATCTCAGCAACTATGGATGGATTTCCATGACTGTCTTGTTCCCCAAAGGATACATCCCAATGACTTTGTGACCCCCTCAGTTTTCTATATCACATGTATCATGTATATTAGGTGGAATTTTTTTGGTTTTGAAGAAAATGTCTTAAAAACTATTGGATGAATTATCATTAAATTTGGTACAAACATTCCTTGTTCTCCTCAGCAAGAATTGATTGGTGACGCCTTAACGTTTCTAATTAGCAAATGTTAGCCTGCTCACACACAAAACTAAGTAGGTGAACATGGTAAACATTATACCTGCCAAAAAAAAGCATGTTAGCGCGGTCATTGTGAGCATGATAGCATGCTGACGCTAGCATTAAAAGCAATGCTGTGCTTAGGCAGCCTCACAGAGCTGCTCGCATGGCTGTAGAATGCTTTATACGCCCATTGCTTCCATGTTCATTATGCAGGACCTTCTGCTGTCAAGAAATGGACATCATGTGTGGTGTTTTTCTGGTGAGGACAGTTTCAGGCTTTAAACATTCACAGTCACTCAACCTCAACATAATCCCCAGTCACATTTTCCCGGTCAGTCAATGGATTTAAACTAGTGATCTTCTTTTAACCGGAGCTAACATGACAGCGTAAACACACAATCCATCACTTCCGTAGGTTTAAAGGCTCCAGCTCTACAGTGATGCCTCAGTCAAAGTGCGAGTCAGACTGAGTGTCTGGGTGAAATGACAACTGTTTACTGACCCTGTCTGACTGTGTTTATGTGCATGTGTCTGTGTTTGTGTTTGTGTGCATGTTAGGTGGCTTTCCTGTGGTCAGTGGGTGGGTGTGTGAGTGATGAAGTGTTTATTACTTGTCTTCATGTCGGCAACAAATGCTAAAGAAATACACTGGTGGGTGAGAATGCAAGATACTGTACTGGATCAGATACACAAGCCGACTTTTCCTAGTTTTAAAGGAACAGTTGGACATTTTGGGAAATATGTTTATTTGCTTTCTTGCTGAGACTTAGAGAAGGTTGATACTACTCTCAGTTGTCAGCCTGTCTGTTAAATGTGAAGCTACTACCAGAAGATGCTTAGCTTAGTTTAGCATTAAGAAACAGGGGAAAACATACTCTGTCAGCCTGTAAGAATAATTAGCATGTAATATATTGCTTTTTTAATCCATGGAAAACCCTAAGTGTAAAAATGACATGGTTTTATGGGGGGTAAAAGGCTAGATTATTTCTTTTTCAGGCACAGTAACTTATTGTCATCACTGTGAGGTTGCTAAGCAACCTGCTGAGAAAAGGCCATGGTTTCTTCTGCTAAACTCTGCATTATATGGATTTACTGTTTATAAACCACCATATTATTTGCATTGCAATCCATGATTATTTGGCAGCAAGTAAGTTGGTGATGCAAAAGTGTTCTGACACAACGCACACAAAGTTCATGCGAAACCCCCCATCTCCCACTATATGTTTGCCCTGGTCAAGCAAAAGTTAGTCTGGTTCCAGACCTCTGAATCACCGTCCACCTTTCAGATTTGTGGAGCGATTCAAAGGAATGAATGACGTGAAACAAAACAGCAATTCTGTTCGAATACTAGGCTAAGTAGGAATCACTACTACAGTGACAAGGATCTGATTCCTTTATTGGCTTCCCAGCTGAAGACTGGGTTTGATGGAGTGCCTGGCCAAACTAGATGCAACCCTACCAGAGACTGAATCCCTGTGGTGTCGTCCAAGACTCTTTCTTACAAAGAGTAATTCTGTAATATAAACTCACTGCAGTGAAGTGTAAATACATACACTTAAGATAATACAGTTAAGCATTACCCAGTACATATTGTGTTTGTGTGTACAGTTTGTAATAAAGTGCAAAAAGACAGATCCAACAGTGAAAAGGTCAATATGATGGTAACTGCAAAATAAAAAGAAAGAGAAAATATTTCCACATAGTATTTAGATAAAAAAGACAACATTGTTTGATGGAGAGGAACGAGCACAGAGACAGAGGCGGAGGAAGCAACATGAGAAACCTCTGGTTCCCAGAGAAAAAGGGAGGAGAGGAGAACTGAGTTTAGGAAGAAGGATAGAAGAGATCCAGTGGGGGACGGAGCTGTTGGTCTCTTCGTACAGAGTAACACCCTTTAATTAGGGTCAACGGTGTGAGGTCAGCTAAGTTCTCACTGTGTGGGTGGGTGTTCACAAAGACACTAAATGTCAAAAGGAATAAAGGGGAATGGATAAAAATAACATTTCAAAGGCCAGAAAGGAACACCAACTGACCTTTCTTCAAAAATTTGTCATCCAAATTCCCCCAGTTCTTCCCAGGTCTTTTCTTTTCTTATCGCTTTCCCTTCCATCTCTCCTTCCCCTCTTCCTCTTGGATAAATGTTACTAATTCTCTCCAATACTCTCTGTCTCCACTGTTAGGCCCTCTTTCAAACACACACAGGACACATACACACAGACAACGAGGTCCATTCATACAGAACTCCACGCTCCAGTTTCACCTGATCAAGAGTCTGTCTGAGGGTGTGTGTGCTCAGGTTTCTGTCTGCTACAGCTGTGTAATCACACTGATGAAGGGTTAGTTTTACACACACACACACACACACACACACACACACACACACACACACACACACACACACACACATTGGTTGCTTAAACATGAACAAATGAGCATAAATACAGTATATATAGACAGACTTGTGGCGTGTCAGCACACACCGATGGAAAGTTACCGTTTTACACACACACGTGCACACCTATGCACATACACATAGAGTAAGCTAATGGTGTGTGATGTAATCCTGGGTGGTCTATAGGCTCTTGGTGGCCTCTACATGCCAAGCCCGCTCTACCCACATGCCATCCACATACAGAACTTCACATTTAGACACATAATCATCACATACAGGATTTACTCAGCATATTCTTAGAAACTAAGTGTTTCCCTTAGTAGATCAAAATAGAAAATCTTGATTTTTAAAATTTTTGTGGCAGCCAGTAAAAAGACCAAGGGAAGTAGCAGGGTGGCCTATGTTTGGAGAAACAGTCCTAAGAGCATTACAGTAGGTCATGCGTTCAATCCTTGCAATATGTAGCAGCTGGAATTTGCTTTCCTTATGCCTCTTTGCATTGCTGTCACATAATAAATACTTTCCCTGTGTGAAATATTTGTAATGCAAGGGTCCTCTCCTAAAAGCCTTGTTTTAAACTCACTGTGATGTGTTTACATGGCCAAGAAATAAAACCAAATTAAAGATTCTCATTAACTTGACGTTGAGAAATTAGTTTTCTGCACTGATGCACTGATTTTAAACTGCTTCGGAAAAACACACGTCTTTGGCTTAGCATCGAACTGAGCAGATCTCAGTCACACAGGGTTTAAAACAAACATGTTTTGAGGAAGTGATCTCACCACAGGGCAGGTCCAGAAGTTGGAGTGTCGCACCTTGTTATCTGTTTAAACGTGGTGTTTCTGTCTTGTGATGACTCCCATGACTCCGCTGGATTAAAAGGTAGCATTGTGTTGGGGAAGGAGTGGACAGTTACCTCCTCCACGAGAAACTTCTCAGCCCTCTTATTTAACTCTGTGTACAATGTATGATGTCTGAGGGCTGATGAGGAGTGATTTTTATGGGATTTTATGTAATGCATCATGGTTGATATATAGTCAGTCTGTTTTGCTTATGAGCCAACACTAGCCAACATCACTTGTCAGGTTCCAAAGATTGTATACTTTGTAAATTAAAGTAAAATAGAGTAGAAAATGGGATGAGGGGAGGTTAGTAAGTAGTGTGAAGACACTTACAGTGATATCCTTGCCAGCCCAGTTACACTCCTCCCTCCAGTCGACAGGAGCGGGCCAATAGATCTGAAACAAAACATGTAAAGGTCAGATGATCTTGTCGCTGAAATCTAAATGTGTTATCTGGAATCATTTATTAATTTTGTGATGTAAATTTTGAGAAATGATTTAACTTTAAACATTAAAAACAACGCATCTGTTCCCTTTAAATTAATAATATGCCCCGCCCCCTGAGCAAGGCACACCTCAAATGAGATACGTAGAGGTTTGGATTCATAAAGGTTTTTATCTCACTTCCCTTCTGCCTCTCCGTATTTCTGTCCAACTTCACTTCCTTTCTTTCCTCTTTGAATGACCCCACCACATTAAATTAACAGCTTCTGCTATAGCAAATCTGCACACCCCGGTCATAAATCTGACTCGCCCATATACCTAAAACCAAAAGAGGCTTCACATCTGTTGCACCAAGCATGTAATTTACTTCCAACAACCGTGAACAGATGTTTGTACTAGGCTCCATTTTACTTGTATATCTATGGCTTTTTTGTGTCTCTATGCATTTAGGTGCCCTTGTATTGTCAGTTCGTGTAAATGTATTGAGCATACACAATGGATAGCTCCAGTGTGAATGTTCAAGTCTTTGCATGTTTGTTTCTGCAACGTAGGCTATGACTATTACACAATGAAAAGGAAAAGGTTTCAGTTGTATATCATTCAGATATCAATCACAATCTTTTTCATCTCTCTTTTCATCTCTGTCCGCATCTTTTATTTTCCATCTTTCTCTATTAATCCCACGTTTTTCTTTCTTCTGTGAAAGTGAGGCGAGTCACTTGAGTGGTCTCACATGTGCAAGAATATGATTCATTCATTTTCAAAGAGTCAAGTTGGTAAATTGTGTCCATGCTTGAATATTTGTCGTTCTGCCATGCCTTTAGGTCCACATGAAAACAAACTCAAAGTGTGTGTGGCCTGACTGATAACAACAGTAATAAATGACAGACATTAAGACATTAATCAGACAGGAATCACACATTATGGCCCAGTATGATCTCCTCTATCTATTTTGTAATTCACACAAGTGATAAAGAAATTTTATGATGGAGACACATAAGGTTGCTAATTAGAAAACAGTTCAGGTTCAGTATACAGCAATAGAAAATACTGTATTACTGTATATTACTTCTTTGTTTTAGTGAAATACAGAAGGAGTGCAATGTGTTTGAAGGTCTCATGAGCTCAGGGTATGTTTTGTAAAACAAAGTGTAGATTGTTGTGAAACCTCACCACAGTAACGGCTGAGTCACTAGTATTAATAAACAAACCTTTCACACCCACACATATAAAAAAAATCTGTTGTGGGGCAATACATTTTATATATTAACTATATATTTTTTATGTAATTTTTACACATTAAAATTGTATATGTTGCCCAACTGAAATAGTTCCTGACTTATTATGATTTTTTACAGATTTAGGTTCTGACCAACCTTGTGTTCCTGCTTGGCAATGTTGTCTAATGATAGCGACAGCAGGAAGTTCTTGGCCCCGACGAAGAGACGGCCTCTTTCTTCATCCAATAGCAGAGCGCTGAAGCAGCATGAACGCTCCAGCTCAAACCGCCGCACTCCATGGAACTGCTGCAACTCTGCAATCGTACAAATACACAGGATTAAAGATGGCGGCCTTTCAATCTGTCTTCTGTTAAATGTGGCATGTTGCATCCTCCTACTGCATGCCACATGCAAACTCTCACAAGATTTTTCAACGCACATCATGCTGTCATCAGTTTGGCAGAATAGAAAAAAAAATGTACTGTATATATGGCCATTATCCATATGCTAATTGTTTTGTTAGTATGTCTTGAATAAAACAACAAGTAACAGTAAACAATGAACTAAGAAAGACTGTGATGACTCGAGGTTGTTTTGGCATTGATAATTTCATCACATAGTCTTCAGATCCAAATCAGTTAGTCACAGGGCTGCAACAAGTCATGTGGTTGATAAAGAAGATTACCAGTTAATGTTGGTATTAAAATAACATTTCTGATGTGTGTCCTAAGGCCAGTGACTTGTGAACAAGCAGGACAAAATCCTCTGACAGTAATGGCACTAATTTGGTTTCAATGGAAAAACTGAGTGTCCTTACTTTTTCCAAACTGGCAAGTACAATTTCAGGGGGGGGGGGGGACAGTGCCCAGGCATATCCAGCTTGTATTTGTAAACTTAAGCTATAATAGTTAACCAAAGCCAGTGGAAAAAAACTGTGCATGTGGCCTGAGAAGCAGAAGAAATAAAAGGACTGCATCCTCCCTGCTGGCCTGCCTTAAACCAAGAGCTTGGAAAAAACAAGGCCCTCTTTGCTTACAAAATAAAATTGCTTTATTAGTCTACCATTGTTCTAATGGGAATATATAACTTTAATTAAGAAGCTGACGCCACCCAAAAGCCGCCTGCATGACATCAGGACTTTAGGTCTGCTGCTCTTGTTTTATATTAACGTGCCATTTTCAGCAAATGTGTTATCATTCAGTTCCACCATACTGTGGTGACAATAACCTTGGGCCCAGAGAAGACATTTATAGTACTGTAAAGTGACACTTGTTTAAGGCACCTATTATCTGATACAGAGAGAACAATGTAGCTGACAACTTTTAAATACATCAAAGTGTCTTTGTATTCGTTAAGTCGGTTGTTTTGTCTTTCCTCTTTCAGAATTAAATTTCACATTCTCATTTGTCAAAACAAAAGAACGTATTTGTCAGGCAGCCCTGACTTGATTAATGGATACACAAATGTCTACAGCCATCCTAGCTGCCCAGTGAGGTCATAATGCTCCCTACAAACCACCCAAAAAAATCTTCTTGCTACTTTCAGATCTTCAGCAGTAGAAGTGGGGCAAAAAATAGTGGGGGAGCTCTGGAGGAGAAAGCTTGGGTCAGCGCTGGAACTTCTGGACAAATAAACTCACAGAGTTGCCCTCCACTGGATTGTAGCCGTCAGCAGGCACCTAGAGCTCTGTGATACTACTTCATATTTATACAGAGATCGGACAAAACAGGAGATTGCTTGGAGAAAAGTAAGCATGGAAGTTGAACTACCTGGTAAGTTCAGATAATATGTGTTGTTACTTGATTCCAGCTATTGTACTTTACTATGAAACTATGAATATATATATGGAAGGAAGTATAGCATAGCCCGGATCAATCTGAACGCCATTTAGAAAACAAGTTGTTTGCTTTTCATCTTTCCGACAGACCTGACAAAGCATAAATTCATATGTTAAACAAATCCACATCGTGATGTCGTTATTCGCAAAGCAAATTTTTTATTTTGAGTTCATACCGCTGTAGTAAACCAAAGGGGTACCAGCCACACGTGGTGGGGCACAGTGTGCTTAAAGTCATGATGCATTTCTGATGACAAGTACAGTTTTTGGCACCAGGAGGGCATTTTCCACTTCAGAGAATTAAATGAGGACGCATTGTCTTGCACATAGGAGCACATAGAGACCAACACATTTTTCAGCATGTAGGGCAGCCCATATGGTACAGCTTTTCTCCATTCCTTGCATCACATTTTCTCCACTGGAATGGCACCGTAGAGGGCACTTTATTGTGTTTTATCTACAATAGGGGCATCCAAGAGGTCACATCCTTTGAATTGAGTAACTAAAAAAGGTTCCTCTGGGGCTTGAATTACAACACCAAAGAGACATTTTAATGACCACCTTATAGCACATTAACCTGCTTGTTATTTATTAGAAAAGACATTGTTTGATTGATGATTACCCTACAGCAAACTCGTTCATCAGTCAGACATAACTCAATATTCAGCTCTACTGGATAAAGAAACATACTGCTGCTGTCAGCTGTGTTCTGCTTAAGGCAAAATATGATCCTGATGCCCGAGGTCATCAGGGTCTCTTTTAGTCCTTCATGTGTCAACTAAAACTAAAATATTCTGCCGTCTTCCCTTCCTGTACATGTTACCTTCAGCCTAAATTAAAGGGAGCACATATCTCAGCTGGGCAGACGGCCTTCACGAGCCTCACGTCCTTGGTGAGTTAGTTCAGGCTGTAATTGCCAACTTTCAATGATGGAACACATCCCTGGTTTATGTGCTGGGGTTGAGCAGCCTTCTTCTTACTTACAGTGCTCAAGATGAAAAATAAAACCTTGCCTGTGTGTTTAAGATGTGTGTGTGTGTGTGTGTGTGTGTGTGTGTGTGTGTGTGTGTGTGTGTGTGTGTGTGTGTGTGTGTGTGTATGAGTGTGGCTGTGCAACCACAAATTACGTCTGGCTACTGTTCAGAACTGTTTACTTTGAAAGGATTTGGTGGAATCTCACGTGAAAATGTCTGTGTGAAGTGTGTGTGTTTGTACAGTGGAAGACCTACACATGCAGATCCAAATGAAAGACGCTTCATCTTTCCTCCTCAAAGCTTTGGTTCTTACCTTTGTATGAGAGCTTCATGCGTGGTGAGGAGGAGGAGGAGGAGGAGGAGGGAGAAGAGGAGGAAGAGGAGGAGGAAGTGCGGGTCACGGTGCCAGAGGAAGCATGGGCAGCAGCCACACCCAGCAGGAACAGGGAGCTGCAGGTGACCATCATGGCCACCATCATCATCATCATGGTCATCATTTTGGCACACAGGACAAACTCCTGCCTTTCAAAAGTTTATTTCTTTATTTAGATTCCACTTAGCAGTAATGCCCAATAGTTGTCTTATTTTCTACGAGTCCACTTGCCTTTGGACTGATTTGGATTCAGCTCAGCTTTTCAAACCCAAAACAGATTCTCCCTCTAGTTTTTTTCTATAGCAGAACTTCAGTCTTTTCCAGTCTTTGTTTCAAGTTGTTAATATTCAGTGTAATCTTTATAATGTCCTCAGTGGTTCTGAAGAGTTTTCTTGGCAGTTCCACAGCTCCTCTCGTGAAGGACGACCAAGTTCACCTCTCACATCCAAGACGGGACAAAAATGTCACACATGGGCATAGAGACCTAAAAATAGGGACATAAAGGGAGAGGATTTAGAAATGGACACAACTAGCATACGTGTGCCTGTGCCAGCGATAACCCTGCACACACACACACACACACACACACACTCACACTGGCGTCTGAGGTATATTTAGTTAGAGTCAGATTGATGTCTCTGCCAGGCTGTGTTAATGCCAGCCTCCATTATGGCAACAACACTATAATCTCTTCACATTACAGCAACACTCAGGATATCCAAAACACACACACACACACTGACCATTGTGATGAAGACTGTGTGTGTGTGATAGAGATATGCCATGCCAAGCCAAGCCAAGCACAATCTCTCCATGTCTGTGGCACAGCCAACTCAAAGTGGCTTCCCCCTCTCTCTTTCTCTTGCTTGCTCACAGTCTCTCTCGCTCCCTCCACACTGGCAGACGGTGTCACCAGATGAGATCGCTTTATTGCTGGGGACAAATGAGCCAACAGTGATGTGGATGGATGTATGAATGGATGACTGAATTGGTGCTCAGCAGAAAGTCACAAGCAGAAATTGTCACTTGTGAGTGAGCCCAGCAGCACAAAGCATTTGGTGTCGATATTGAGTTACACAGTAGTAGATAAATAACATTAAAAATGATCCAAAGTTTCAAAATGTTGGTTTATAATCTTGTTTACAAGCGGTTTCTATAAACCCCAATTTCTCCGTATGGTGACCTCCTGACAATTCAGCATGATCGTGGAGTAGAAAAAATCATTTCTATTAAGTTATTTGAGAACTGGAGTCGGATTTAAAGTGACAGATTTGTTATTGTTTCAGAAAAATTCCCAATAACTTGGTGCCTCTGTTGCGAGTGTATTGTTGTAAACCACAACTCTACCACAGGTCACTGGTTTTAATTCTACATGTATATGAATGTTGTGCAGTAAAACGTGTGCACGGGACACACACACCTCTGTTTCAGTACTTTGGACTCTGCGGTCAGCCATAACAATAAAGCCTTTCAGAAGAAACAGCCTTCTTTATTATATTACACCTCATAGCTGGCGCTCAGTCAGTAATAGGCACGCAGTCTGCTTTTCGCCTCTTCTCCCCCTCCTAACAATTAACTCCTTCATCTGCTCTTCTCTGTAAAAAGCCCTGGAGTGAAATCAGCTGCTTGGCCAATGTGAGGGCTTGACTCTACTTTGTACAGCAAGCTGGATCTGTCTGTCAATGAGTGCAATATCAGAAATGAACCGCAAGTTATTATCTTTCTTTATATGGCACTTAAAAAAGCCCTTGTGGACAAAATTGGCTCACCAACAGCATAAATTTGGTACACTTGCATTTTAGCCAAATCTAGCCAAAGCCTTGCTACCGAAGCTGATTTTTAGTCCAAATTATGCACCCCATGAACTTATATGGGTTTAGAGCCAAACCCAAGTTGCATTTCAACTTCTGGTGATAGAAGAGAGCTGAGTGTGCACTCCGCTGCTATTAGCCCAACGAATTTGCTAGAGATGTGGTTGTGTTATAAGAATAACTACAAAATTGGTCTCCCAACTGAGAATATGGTCCTTCAAAATGCCACAGATTTGCTTTGTTTATCACAATAAAATAAAAGTATTTTGTGCATGCGTGGTGGTGGTCTATCTTGCATGTGTTTATGGAGGATTTTTTAATGGAGGATTTCTTGATTTTTATTTCTTGACTTAAATTGGTGATTAGTGATGAGAGTTGACCCCCAGTTCGGCTGTCTATGATGGATGACTGGGTGAAGTGTAGTTTTTAGACTGACCTACTATCATCACCTGAACTGTTTCTAAAGAATGTAAAATTTTACTCTGGACATCTGTACATTCATATTTAAATTACAGTCACAAAGTACAGCTGAAAGCTGCAGTGATCACTTTTAAGCACACATATGGAAATACGCAAATATGAGAATTTACACACAAACTCTACATGCACACAGACCCGTCTAGGCTGTTGGCACAGAGTTTTATGAATAATGGAGCTATTGAGGCGTGGAGACAGGAGAGCTCTCATAAGCTCACGCCTCACAGGCCACAAGACAACAGGACAGAGCTGAACAGGAACATAAATTCTCACATACCCTCCAGTATGTAAACACACACAGATGCACACACTCGTGAATGGACAAAAGTGTATGCCTCGAACCAACCTGCTGTCCTCTGGCACAACTCACTCTTTCAAAAGTGCAAGAGGCTAGATACTAGATAAAGTTTCCTCTGGGATACTTTCTAGCTCTGGTCTGCTTAGTTCAGGTGTGAAGCAGAAAACATCACATTACTCCTGGCCAATGTCAAGGAAGTGATTATGGGTGTAAGATGAAATCCTTTAATAAATTGTGTGTTTGTGTGTGCGTAAGAAGAATGATTAACAACTGGGACTGTGTGCGTGCTCAAGGTTCTGCGAAGATGCAGTATTTCAAGGACGTCATCGCTCTCATCAGCTGCAGCTCCAGGACACACAAACAGAAACACACACACACACACACACACACACACACAGTTCACATCACAGTCTCCGGGAGTGACAAAGGCAGCACTGAAACCCTTACAGTCCTGTCAGCTACTATAAAAGGAACGGCCGGTCCCATTGTTCCTCTGAGTCTCCCTGAGCTGTGTGTGTCTCAGCGTGTGTGTGTCTTCCAAATCTGCAATCAAGAGCTGTGGAGAGCATCATTGGTCTTTGCACATCCTCATATCGTTCCAGAGCCCTGAGCAGACACACACACACACACACACATCAAATACATACACTTATATACAAATCTCTGCTTCTCAGCACTTAGATCAGCAAACACACAAACGCACACTCACAAATATACAAACTCCTCGCATGCTCCATAATGCATCTTAATAAAAAAGCCATTGGGCCCGCTGACACTTGCATTCAGTTCAGCTTCAATAGACACGGAGCAGCAGCATGCCAAGAGGGAGTGGATTAAAAATAAAGACAGAGAGAGAGATTCTTGGTGGGTGGGGGTGCAAGCCATCCTGTCAAAAACCAGCTTAAATAGACATGGGCAGACAAAGCGGCCCACCTCCAGGCTGAGACGGGCTTTTCAGAGTGAGGTTAGAGTGCAACCCCACAGTACAGCACACGATAATGAATGAATGGATATCAGCAGTTTAAAGGAGACAAGTCAAAAGGAGACAAGGGAGAAAGGAATGGGATAGGAAAACCATAAAGTTATTAGGAAGAGAGAAAGACAGAAAGGATGTACAATTGGAGGGCAAGGAAGAATGGGAAGGCAACTTGGGAGAAGAAGGAGGCAAGAAAGGTAAACTGAAATAGAGAAGAGGGAAGGGAAGTGGGTATTAAGAGAGTGAGAAAAGGATGGGAGGGAAGAAACAGAGATGGGGGAAAAGATGGAAGAGGAACTGTGGATAGACATACTGTAGGGGAGAGATGGGAAGGGACAGATAGATAGATAGATAGATAGATAAAGAAAGGGAAAGCAAGAGGTGGAGGAGTAGAAGAGGAGGAAGAAACAGTGAAGAGACAGAGCAATATATAGACGTTTCACCGCTTTAGCTCTGTCCCAAGGAAAAAGAATGCGATGGAGGGAGGGAGGGATTAGAAAATGAGAGAGGCGAGAGGTGATGGAGAGAAAGGAGCGAACAGTTTCGCCTGCAGGGAGAAAAGAGTTTCCCTGGCCTGTGACCAACAAGTCTAAGCCTCCCTGTAATGTAGAAATTAAAGAAAGGAGGGATGGATGGAGGGAAAAAGAAGAAGAAGGGGGTGGAGAGAGTTAGGAGGAGGGAGAGCGCCCAGCTTTACAGGGTAAAATTTCTGAAACAGCGGGTTACTGGTGGCTTTTGCACCAGTTTAAGAGGGGTGAGATAGGGGCAAGAAGAAGGTGGATGCTTAAGCAACTTTATACGGTACCTTAGGAAAAGTTTTTTACCCCACTGATCTGATTTGTAGGGGTGTCTTGGGTGTTTGACAGTACATTTGTGTGAGACAATGAGACAAATCCAGGTGAAAAGATTGAAACATGCATTGCTTCTGTTTTTAAAATTAATAAATTTTTAATGTATTTTATTGCCAAAGTATAGCAATAATAGCAGGAAAAAGCTGCCTTTCATTCATTTCAATTTCATTGAAATTGATTATGTCTTGTGAATCGCTGAAATAACAGTGAAGAATAAAGAATCGGTCTGTAAAGGTTAGATATTATCATGTGTATATTATCAGTTACTCAGTGGAGCATTTATCCACACTAATAAAGGAGCTACTAAAGTGAACTGAGAAAGAGGTATAATGAGGAAAAGAAGAGCAGAGGCAGGGAAAGCGATGAAGATGAGTAGGGAGAAAACAGGAGAATGGAGAGAAGAGGCTGGATGGATGCAAAAGTTGAGTCAGACTGGACGAGAGAAAGAGAAATCCACTACCACACTGGGAGTGATGTGCAGTATATCTGGACTGATGGTGTGCGAGGGCGTGCTATGTACTCATCATATTGTTAAGACTAACCTCCCATCTGGAGAAAAGTTTTGATCAGTTCCCCACAAGCTTAACCATTTATCTTAGTTAGAGGTGATGTTAGGAAAAGAACAACTAGTATGCTGTTAAAGCAATGGCTGAATGTGAGTCACTGTCTTCACAAGTACTGTAGACGTAGTAGAAGTGCAGCAAACATGTGAAAAGTTGTTTTGATTCATCTCTGATAAAAAGCAGCCTGGCTTGCGGGTCCGTTTCCTCCATTTCCAGGAGGGAAAAAAGGCACATGAAAGCAGAGTGCCTACGCAGAGAGAAAGAGAGGAAGAGCAGGTGATGCAGGGCAGCGTGGCCGTCAACACGCTGCCAGACTTTTACAAACAATTTCTAGAAGGAGCAAAAGCAGCTACATTCTGCTTCTGGTAGCATGGAAAAAGTTGGACTTACAGTGACTACAGCTGTGACAACGTTACAGGTTTGAAGCATGAGATATTTTTGCAGAACAAAGAGCTGAGCAGTGCCTCATTTTCCTTGAAAAGTAAGGAAAGAAACAAATGCGTACAAAGACAGACCACCAATGGAGAGAAAGAATTCAGTTCAAACTAAGAGGAACGTCCAGGAACCAGACTGTTGTGTGTTATGAATGTGATATAAATGACCCATTAATGTTATTCATTTTGAAAGAGTGAAGGTGAAAGTTAGGTTGAAACAAGCCTTTGATTTACAGGCGCACAAAAAATAAAAAGCTCAGTCATCTGAATGCTTGGGAAAGAATTCAAAAGCAGGCTCTCTATCCACTGTATAATGTGGCTTAGACGTACAGTCTTGTTTTCAGTGAAAGGTCTTGCTAGTGACAAGAGTAAATGAAAGTTTCACACACACACAACTGGCAAAGTAAAGCAGCTATAAGCCAAAAGTGAGTACCAGGCTATGGGATTTAGGCTGAAAAAACAAAGGAGAAAGAGAAAACTAGACGACCCGGGACAGGAAAGCCTAGTGGTTCTGAAAGACACAGAGTGAATGAAGGAGCCGGGGAGGCTTCAGTGCTCTGCTGGTCGCTGGTACTGAGCCATTTGGCGTGGAATCATGAATGGAAAGTTTCCCAGCCTGCAAACCCGTGGCTAGCATTTGTTCAGTTTGGCCAAATTATTCTCATTAGTCAAAGTCTGTAAAATGAAAAGTGAAAAGTAATGAAAATGAAAATGACAAAATGGAATCTTATGAATCTCTTTGGCTGGTGTCCAAAATGCAAAACATGTGCAGCCTACTAAGTCTGAGCTGTCTTACTCATGATTATGGATATCTTTTTAATAGTTAAAAAAAAATAAATCAGTTTAGCCTGCACAGCCAGATTGGGGAGTGGTGATTAGACTAATTGTGGGTAACCTGATACATTACAAGTAAGAAATACATAAAAATGCTGTCAGAGAACTGCCTTGCTATGGTAATAAGAAGGTTTCAACCTCATGTCTCGTATAACAAGCTGTGAAATAAGAGACAATGAAGGAGCCACTAAGGCGAGGGCAGCCTGCTGGTTGCTGGTAGACGGCCATTTGGCCGTGTTAAACCCAGGAGCAGCAGTAAGTCAGGACCTTACAGAGCTGCCTCTGGTCTCCTGACTGGAGCTGCTCCAAACAGCTCTCTGAGGGAAGACAACTCACTCTTCTCTCCTAAATGAAACAACAGAGCAGATTTCAACCCAGCTCTTTAAGGAAGAAGCCCACATGTCATCAGCATGACTTGTAAAAAGATTACTTTGGTTTGCGATGGCTCAGTAGTAGCACTGCTGCGCGAGATCAGATCACACACAGTAGGCTGAGCAAGACTTGAACTTTATGGCTGAACAGCAGTTATTATTTCATCATCATTTCCTCCCTGTAGAGTATGGCAAATGAAGTTGGTTTGTGATTGAATTTTTTCCCCTCAGCTAGATCAGAATCACTTTTGGAATACGCAGTGGCAGGAGTGTGTAATTCAAGTGTGAACCACAAAATGAATTAGATATAGTATAGTCAGAAAACCCCAAAGATTTTTTATGCGACATCATTATCCTGATTATAACTTGAAATGAAAACATTTTGGGGATGCTCCTGACTCGACCACAGTGAAAAATGAACTCACCTGTCCATTCGTTTCCAGGGGAACCAAATTCCAAAAGAGTTCAGAACATTCCGGGTCGGGATCAGCGTCCACCTGAGCCCAACATACCTCTGACAGCACCAACCGTTTCCATAGCTTCTGCTCAGCTTGTTGCTGTTTGACCTCTCATAGTTTTCCCATTGGAATAAAAAAAGAAAACAAACCCTCTTGATTATATACTCACAGTATAGAGAGTGCTGTATACACACCCGCACACACTCACTGAGCTCTTGTTATGAGCTTGCAAAACACCCATTCTCAGACTTGTGCATGTCTAAATTCAGTGAGTGTGTACAGAAATGTTCTTCTGGAATCAGGTGGTACTGATGCTGAATCTCAACATGAGAAAGTCCATAAATTTAGAGTATACATATGATTAAAACAGGCAGGTAGAAATTTTCAGAAAGCTGTGAGATCTTGAGTAATTCCAGTGAAGAGAATAGTGCCTTGAGGGCAGAAAGAGAGCAGCAGCAGAGTCCCACTTTGGTGCAAAAAAGTCCAGTGAGTCTTAAAAAAGTCCAAAAAGCAGGTGGTGTGTGAGTTAAAAAGCAGCGCAGGGAGATTTGAGTATTCCCCTGTGTGCAGTCAGCTCCACTCATGAGCGGCTGCACTCCAGCTCCACTTAGAAAAACACACAGTTCTATGTACACACATAAAACTCTTAACACACACACGCGAGGAGTTCACACACACACATGGAGTTTTTCACAGGAGCTGAGCGAAGTAGAAGTGCTCAGAGGGAGAGCAGGCAGGAATAATAGACTTAATTCAAGAGGGGGAAGAGAAAGAGAGAGAAGGAGGGGTTGAAGAGAGAAGGGAAAGGTGGGAGGTGAGAGGAGGGGAGTGGAAAGGGGCAGGGACATGCAACGTGCTGTTCTCAATGTGTGCTACTGTATATTTTCATTGGTACCAGGAGAAAACTTATCTTTTTTACAGTCCATTATTGTGATCAGTGACTTTAATTAATGTCCACTGAGACCATTAAACCTCAGTACAGAAGCAAAGACTCCTTCTACAATACAGACTTGTGACTCGGGTCGGGCCTCTATTCACTGTGGGATTTGGGGCTGTCCCAAATGAAAGTTGAAAATTGTGCAATCAATCAAAATATGGCACGATATGGTGCAGAATACACTGGCCGATGCAACATTGTAATAAAAAGGGAAAAATACCCAAAGCTCATATCTCTGTGGTTCCTGCCCTGTTCTTAAAATGCAGCAACATTGTAAATAATTTCATCTGTTTTCATTGTCACGTTGAAATTTAGCACAACGATTTTATGCTTGACTCAAGCGGCAAAGTTTCTGTATCACCTAAATCAACATGCAATAAAGTAGAAGCTGACAAGCGAATAACTTATGTTGTACACAAAGCATGTGACCACTGAAGAGATAGAAAGTGACAGCAAAACGAGAACATCAGATCTTAGATATTTGACTGGCGTTATTTTAATTACATCACCTTGTTGTGCCCTCTTCTACTTCAATTTTAATGGCACCAGACTGGAGTTTATGAGCCACAATTCTTTTTCTTTATTTTCTGGAAATTTGGATGTACACTTGACTAATGTTGTATCGCTGCTTGCATTTTTTACATCTCCACCATCATGCTATGATTCAACAGGCATTGATTGCATGCCTCAAAACTGAGATTGTGCAGTCTGACACAGACTGCAGCCAAGATTTTATTGGCCCCATCTTGCACAGTGAGACTTGTTATGAACCAGGATCACTGTTGTTGCACAGTGCCACTCACAAAAACGAGTGTTGAGACTTGGGTGTAACTGCTTTGAGACGTGACTTCACTAGAGACTTGACTTGAACCTTACTTTGACAGACTCATGACTTCCTACAAAAGACTTAAAAGCAGCTCTGGCATACAGTGTGTTGATTTCTTTCAATAACAGAGCAGTTTGGATAAAAATCACTACGAACACAAACAGAAAGATTTCCAGAGAATGATTGTGTGCTGATATGGACAGCATGTAGGCTGATAAAGCCACTGTAAATACAGCAAGATGGTAATTGGCATACATTTTAACATATGAGGGTTTACATCATCCTTTGCACATCTCAAAGTTCAAGTATGGGCCAGCTATTCATGGCAACCAGCCTCTGAATACATGGTTGTATGAAAAAAGTTTAAAAGTGATATGAAGACATCAAAAGAGTCTCTTCCTGTGTGTAATACCACATCTAAAAGAGCCATTTAAGTGCCAGGGTGAAGATCTTAAACTTTTGCAACAATTTACCTCTAAGAATTCACATGCTTGGATTTAAAGGTACAGTCCTGGCCACATGCACCAAGTATGTAGGAGGTGGCATTTGACCTGCTCCTCCCCCTCAGCTACTCTCTAAGCCATTCTGCTCCTCTGCTCTTCTCTAATCACATGTAGAGCTTATCTTTATAATAACCTTATAAATTAAGCTTTTTGTGCGTTCCTGGATTGGCAGGGGCGTCACTTCTTCTGCAACAAAGAAGTTAAAAGGCCCATCGCCTTGAGTGATGATCTGTGGGGAGAGGAATCCCTGCTGCCTGTGTGTGTCTGTTCCTCGTCTCTATTTCGACACAACTGACAAATATGTGGAAAAAGTTTGTAATTTTAAAAAAACACACTAACAAACAGCAGTGTTACTATTTTATCATGTGGGAGGGGTGGAATCATGGAATTGAAACTCCAGGAGAACAGCAATGACTGAGAACTGAGCATATTTCATTTATCGGAATCAGTTCATCATTTATATAGTTTGTAATAGATTATCAGTGTGTTTTCTCGCCAGATTCGCTCATGGCAGTACCTCCAACGTCTCCCTCTGTTGGAATAGCCCAACTGATTAATATGAGCGCTGAAAGGAAGCAGGCAGCACTTCCGCCTCCCCTGTGTCCCCGGACAGCAACGCTTTCACATCCAATCTTCCCAGTCAAAGACAGAGAAGATCAAGTGGTGGCAGGAGACAAAAAAAAGGAGCAGAGGAACGAGAGGTCGGGGAGCGCGAGAGAAAGCAGCTCATGCAGCAGCAGTGATTGACAAGCCCTCGGGGCAGCTCTACTTCGTCATCCTCTCATGTTGGGCTGAGGGCAGACTGGACGCTAAAGTGACTCACTATCGCATCTTGAGGCTTATAACAAGACAGGACAGGCTGGGGCTAGCAGGTTGGCATGCTAATTTCAGAACTGTTACTTCTTCACATTCTGTTGATAATAGATAGTTTTAAGTTTCTGGCCATATCTTACACATTTGAAATGTTTCATATATAACACTTACCCTGTGTAGACTCTCAGTTACATTGGTGTCTGTGTGTGTGTGTGTGTGTGTGTGTGTGTATCTACTTCCTACTTGCCCCACTCCTTTAATCTTCATTCCAATGGCAGAGGCTGTGCTGTGCCTGGCAACCCTGACATTCACACACTCTCAAACATGCATACACTCACACATCTACAAACTTACTAGGGGTAGGGTCCCAAACAGATAGGTCATGGGTCTCACGTTAGTAGGTTCACTGCAGTATGTGTGTGTGTGTGTGTCTCCAAGTTTGCCTCATCTTTACACAAAATGCACTCACTCCATCAGTGTTTTAAAAACTCACATGCACATGGGCATATACACAAAGCTATGGAGGAAAGTGAATGCGTGTGTGTGTGTGTGTGTGTGTGTGTGTGTACTTGTGCACTATGTTTTCAGCCCCTGCTGACCTGTCTGTCATAAACCAGTCTGATGTCTCTACAGGCTGCAGAGTGAGCGCTGTGATTCTGACAAAGGCTTTTGTCTCAGCTGAATCCTCTGTGCTTTTAAAAAAGATGAGGCCTCAGTTTCCTGATAGTATCGAGGTGAATCTTTGTTTTACTGCAGGTCAATGAACCGAAATGATCTTTAAATTGCACTACAATCAAGCTAGGGTCTCCCACGTTGGAGTCTCTCCCTGAGGTCTTTTGGTCTTTTTTTATTTATTATTTAATTCAGGTCTTCTAAGAATAGATATAGAACACAAAAATAAAAGTGAAAATAATCTATTTTATTTTCCAACATAAGTGATCGTCATATTGTAGCCTATGACAGGCCTAAAATAAAATGAACAAAGCATATTGAGTATTTTGAACAGGTAAATGGCCGTGCATTAAATATTCTGTCATAAAAAAATAACTCTTGACTGAAAACAGCCTGAATCATAGCTTTCTTTAATTAATGTTAATTATATTTTGTAGTGTTCTACAGTGTTCAGGTATTTAGCATTGTTTATTATACTCATATTACTGTAGCAATGAATCATTTTTATAGGCAACTTTAAACAAAACACCCAGAATAAAATGAAAATATAAGTGTCTCTGTGTTGGTTGGGTCATGCTTCGTTGAAGTTAATGATACCATATTCACTTTAAAAGCTTCATCTGTTACATTACATTTATTCACTTAGCTGATGCTTTTATCCGACTTACAATTGCTGTACATGTCAGAGGTCGCACGCCTCTGGAGCAACTAGGGGTTAAGTGTCTTGCTCAGAGACACAATGGTGGATGGGTCACAGTGGGGGAATGAACCCAGGTCTCTCACACCAATGGGATGTGTCTTATCCATTGCGCCACTGCCACCCCACTGTTAACACAAGTGTTGTCCTACGTGACCAGTGAAAGTGTTTCATTGGATGGAAGACGAGTAGGCTGAATGTACATCCCTCTCCAAAAGAAGATGGGCTACAGAGAATCTGGAAGCCAGCATGCAATGGATTTTGGGATAGTTGTTTGAACATGGCTTTTGAATACTTGTACTATCTACTATCAAACAAATGTGAAATGAATCTACAGGAGTGGTTAACAGATGGTTGAGGGTGTTCATCTGAATTAATCTTGAGTTCTAATGTCGGAAAAACTGGGAATGCATTTCTGCAGAGACGCCACACCTCCTCGTGAATGAGGACGTTCAGGAGACAACATCCAGCACATTTTGGCATCCACTGCAACCTTCTGGTGATGCCCCTCTTTCTTGGCCAAACTGGCTTTGTAAGAGACATGCTTCCATCCTATTACAATTACTTCTGTTAGTTGGATAACTGATATAAATGTACACAGGCACATTACATTGTTGCTCCACTTCAACATAAAACTAATACCAGAAATGGTTTTAAAATCTTGCAAGGCAGATGCAGAGTCAGGCAAATTTTTCAAAAGCAAGGAAGGGACAATGGATTCAAATGGCATGTATTTACAGCAGGCTAACCATAGCGGTAATATGAGTCTGGCATTAAGGTGTGACACTTACAAATGTTACAAGTGTTGGATTATAAACATTTGCTCAACAGATGCAGAAATATCCAGGCCATATTCCACGCCTGTAAAATTAGCAGCATAAAATACCACTGAACCTTTCTCTTTTCTCTTTGTGTGTTCCAGGCCTCTGTGGGTGTTACAAACTGACCCAACATAAAACTAATACCAGTACTAAGTGGATCATTTGCATCATTGCAACTATGCAGCCCATTCTGCCAGTTTTAACCATATCCTAATCTCCTCTATGTGTGTGTGTGTGTGTGTGTGTGTGTGTGTGTGTGTGTGCATGTGTGAAGTGAATTAGTCTATTAATATTCATCCACAGTACTAGGTCAGGAGTTGAACATTCAAGAATGATAAAGTTTAAATAGGGTTAGAACAAAAAGCTATTAGCTTTCTGGTGACGTGGCATTTTGGTGTTGACAACTAAGTGATGCCATGTGTGCACGGCCAGAAATTAAACAAAAAGAAAGTTAGAAAAAGAAAGATGA